CGTGTAAATTATACATTGTTTTGTGAAGCGCTTTGAGACAATTATACTCCCCATTATACTGAATATCCCATTATATCACGTTATCTTGAGCTTATAGTATACGTTTGTTGAATTTAATATATTCACGTTTCATGTAATGTACTTTATTCCTGCTTCCAATGGACCGATCCAGTAAACCCCGCCCACTGCGCACTGGACAAAATAACACGTGCTCCTCTCCAATGCCACACTGCATTTTCCTGCCGCGCGCATCATACGCGTGTGCACGCACGTCGGACTTTTGTGCACGCACGTCGGACATAAATCACGGCTGTGATTGGTCAGAACACCATGGGGCGGTGCTTACTGGATCGGTCCATTACTGTTGAGTAATGTTGTATTGTTTCAATCTGCTTTATAAAAGTACGTAAATACATGTGATATTGAATGGAAAAATTAAAACAGGTGAATGCAAATTTGGCGTCTTCTTAATTCTTTCTTGACAGGTTTGTGACCAACTTGGCGTACTACGGGCTATCTCTCAGCACCTCCTCACTGGGCATAGATGACTACGTGGCCGCCTTTGTATCCGGTGCCTTGGAGGTACCAGCCTACCTTTTTTGCTGGTTCGTCATGGAGAAATTCGGCCGACGTTTCTCCCTGTCGGCTCTCTTTGTGTCCGGAGGCGTCTTCTGCCTGATAACCATCTTCGTTCGTACGTTTCTTTTTCTTCAATTTTTACATGATGAACACGCATTACTTAAAAAAATATGTTAATATGATCATGGATGGAAAAAAACAGATTATAGAGGCTTCATTCTTAATTTTTGTCACCTTCTGGTAGCGCTGGGTGCTGGCCGGGTCGCGGTGGCTATGATTGGCAAGTTCGCCATTACTGCAGCATTCAGTCACATATACATCTACAGTAGTGAGCTCTACCCGACCGTAATCAGGTAGGCCTATACGATATCTCAACTTCCATGTAAGAGGTCAAATTGGTTTTTGAGTTTAGAATTTCTTCGCTTATTTTATTTACTAAGGGAATCAGTGTGAGCTTGGCCGGTTTTAAACACTCTGTTTAAGACCGGTTGGAGTCTGGATGCCGATAATTACCCGAGCCGGACACTTTTTCCCTCAAAAAATCTAAACTTTTAAGTCCAAAATTCAAAACAAGTCAAAACTTATAAATTTCCAACGATGTTGCTTTTCAAAACATAGCTGTGTTATGGATTGTCCCTCTCGCGAGTAGATGTAAACAACTCCTTATGTGGAGATTGGCGCGCTGGTACCCATCTTCCAAACGGGGGCGCTCTTCAAAACTGACCATTATTACGCATACTACATATTACATGGACATTTTCAAGGCGCATTGTAATGGTTGTTGAGCGGGTTTTCTTTGGTGAGATTGATGTCAGAAGAACTATAAACATTTATTTAAATCATTGCTGACAAAAAAAAAAATTTCAAAAAAATCCGCCAGGGCGAGCAAAGTGCCTCCCTCCTGCCCCCCTGTACACCCCCTGTACATTAGGAAATCACTATGCAAACAACAAAACTACACAATAGATTGATTGTCGCTTTTCCTTTGAAAATTATTCTAATGCCATTAAACCATTTTCGCTCAATCAGGGGTATTGGTTTAGGAGCATCTTCCATGGCAGCCCGCGTGAGTGGGGTTCTTTGCCCCATCATCTTGATCCTAGGCAAATACTGGCAACCACTGCCTCTCTCTGTCTTCGGAGGCAGCTCCGTGCTGGCTGGGATGCTGTCTCTGATGCTGCCGGAGACCTTGGGCCGTGACATGCCGGACACTATTCAAGACGGAGAGCAAGCCGGGAGTAAGTAGTCTGAGTATCACCCGTTGCCCAATGGAGCCCTCTAGCGTCTGATATAATTATGCGAGCAATGCAAATTGTATGCGACCCGCGCGCCAGCCAATCGGGGTGACTTTAGAAAATGTGACGTCATTTCGATCTGAAAAGTGGACTAAGCTTTTTTGTGCACCTATTTCTTACAGTGGGTCCAGGCCTCAGTCTGTGCCGCAAGAAAGGTCTTAAAGACAGCCTTGACTCAAAACCTCCCGAGAACTACCTTCCACTGTCCACAAACAACAAATCTGCGACTGAGCCAGTGGCGATCTGAGGTCCGAAGTTAAAAATCGAAGTCCCAAGCTGTCTTTGTTATTATATTTTCTTAATTAGTTTATTGGCTATAAGAATTGCTAGCATGAGTTAACTTATTATTTGACTTACTGACTTTAAAAGGGCTAACTATCGAGTGTTTAATACATTTTCCATAACCAGCTGTGGTTTGCTTTTTCTTAAAGTTCAAACTTGACGGTTAAAAATGGACGCATGATTTATATTGAAACTTTGGTGGATACGTGCGCTTTGTAAATACGCATTTGTCCATAGGAATAGATGCATGGCCAATAAACCATTATCATGTTGCGACCATTTGATTTGTTTCCCATTCAAACCAATGTAACCAAAGCGAGGCTGTCAGGAAAAATAGTCTGCTTCCTGTTTGCACAAAAACATTATCATTCAGTTCTGTTATTGGATACAGGGAACATGACTAAAATGGTGGCAGCATGGTAAAGGTCTATAGGCCGAATTGCATTGATGGATCCTTCCTCTCACAGAGAATATTAAAAAATAATAGGAATTATAAAGAAAGAAGTTCATAATAATCAAAAGAGGGCGCCACTAAAATGTGAAAATCGCTATACCGAACGATCGATTTTACGAACAATTTCTGTGGATCCCACGATGTTCGTTATAGCGACGTTCCACTTTATGACGTCACGCTTTGTTTACCTGTGCGCTTTCCAGTGAGAGCCCCAGCTGGCTCTCATAAGAAAGCGCACATGTAAACAAAGTGTGACGTCATTTATATTTCAGGTCCATTTGTGATGTTTTGTTTTAACGGGGAAAAAACCTACTTTATTCCGATTTTGGACGTCTGAAACCTTCTGGAAAAAAAAATTAGATTTTTGCACACAAAAGAACGCAACCTGCGAGAGCCGAATTATTGTCGGGCCGCGGACAGCGCAGCCAATAATTCGATTTTTGTGAAGAAATAATTCAATAACTAAACGTCAGTGGAAATTTGTTTCGTTAATGTCTCATTCAAAAGTGATTAACGTTTGTTTTTCTAGGAAAATAGTAATCGAAAAAAAGTGGATGTATTTTTCGAGGTAAAATTCAAAAATAGCACAGGGAACGATCTTTAAAATGAGAAAAAACTACATTCGGATAAGCCCAAAGCCTGAAAAAAAATCATACATCTCGGTAATTATTTGTTAAATTGAATATTTTCCAGTTACTATTGTTACTTCATGACAACAAACTAAAACACCTCTTATTTTAACTTAGTATGGTATTTTTTTAAAATTTTAACTATGAATTTGTATACAAAAACAACTAAAGTTAGTTTATAGATGTATTTATCACCTTAAAATTTTGCGAAGTGCGTAATTAATTATTTAAAGAGGAGGAACGTGGAATGCTTTTTGTGCAGGTTAACTATATGGGGTTATCTAACCAGACTTTATTCTACCTCTGCTTATGCCTATATACAGTTTAATACTTTGTGAAATTTTGACTTGTTTTTGGTCGGTCGGTGGAAGGGTTTTCAGAGATTTTAGAATTTCTTGTACTTTTTGGTGTAGGGTTAAAGAGGTTGTGGAATGCTCGAAGACATTTCTGTCTTTTTTCGGGTATATGTAGCCTAAGGTGTGATGAAATAAAAACGATTATTGTGTCTGTCATGAAATGAGTACAAAGGGTACTTTTGAGAGCTGTTTTTCAGGTCCTGTTTCGACCCGAACGTGCAATTCGTGTACTTGAAGTCGTCGTTGGGGGCAGCAAACAAACCATAGTAAATCGTGACGTAATAAACAGGACTCCCGATGCAGCGTAGTATAAACGAATCCCGTTTATTACGTCACGATTTACTATGTTTTGTTTGCTGCCCCCAACGACGACTTTTACACGAATTGCACGTTCGGGTCGAAACAGGACCTGAAAAACAGCTCTCAAAAGTACCTTTTGTACTCATTTCATGACAGACACAATAGTCGTTTTTATTTCATCACACCTTAGGCTACATATACCCGAAAAATGACGGAAATGTCTTCGCATTCCACAACCTCTTTAGCGGGACTCAAAGTAAAGGAAAGCTGTGAGTTAATCGCGGTTTCGTTACGTGGGGTTTATTACCGTGTGTGCGTTGGGTTAGCTCACCCGAATCGACTCGGGTAAAGGTAGACGGATTAGCCACGGCGGTGGGCTAATCGAACGCTCAGCCGCGGGCCAACACGATCCTCACGTGATGTCCGTATAGCCGTGGCCGTAGCCACTGACAAAACTCCCGTTTCGGACTTGGTCTTAGTACGAAATTTACTGCTTTTCAATCAATTGCAAAACTCAAAAAAAAGTTTTGCAATGAGGGCTGGATGTTACAGTGGGGTGGGGGGGGGGAGGCTGGACATCATCTTCCCATGGGGGCGCATTCAAAATCGACATGATGGATCAATGTCAGACAATAGGTGGCGCTATTCGCTTTCCCCGGGACGTTAAACAGCCACTCGCCAAAAACGGGGTTTTCGTGAAAAATAAACAGAAACCGTGGAAAAGGCACTTTCTGCTATATAACCGCTAACCATGGTAACTTATACGATTGTGCTTTTCTCTGGTTGCCAAATTTTCAGTGGGGGACGACTGGAGGGTGGGGGACATATTTTTATGAGGGTGTGCTCCCCCCCCCCCGCGACGCCCATGGCTAACAGTGGCAATTTTGGTCCGCCCAAACAAACTTGCGCCTTCATCGGGCTCTGCTTACTGTTTATATCGAAAAATCTCTGCTAACTATGGCACATTATTCCGTGCTTACGGTAAGCATATTTCACGGGTTAGCAAGGAATGTTGGCTTCTACGCATGCGTATACATCCGTAACTGCGCTTACAGTGATTAGCGCATAATTGTTATGCTAGGGAGCGGTTAGCACAAAAGGGTGATCGTAAGCGCGGAGGTGAATAAAAACCTACCAGTTGTCGGGCCCAAACAACACGTCACGGCTCACAGCCTATAATACATGTACTTCACATGAATGCATTTCAGTTCTCAAGACAGACTGCGTTTACACGGCAACAAACGACCAACTTTCGCTATGCAGTACGAGGACATTTTGCAGCACATTGGCCATTTTGGCAAATACCAAAAACGGTTTGTTGTGCTTCTGTCCCTGATACAACTCCCAACGATATTTCATTTCTTAGCTCAGGTGTTTCTGGCGGCCAACGCCGATCATTGGTGCCTGGTCCCGGCCAGCCAGGCCGTCAACTGCAGCCTGCTCCAGCTCGACTCGTCTGCCTGCCAGGAAGCACAGAAGAACCAGAGCATCCCGTACGAGTTGGACTCCCAGGGAAGTCGAGTTTACTCCTCGTGTGAGCGATACGTGTTAGATGATGAGGGAGAAGGCGACCAAGGTACCAACTCGACGGATGTCGTCGCCTGTGATGCTGGCTGGGATTTCGATCGATCTCGCTACATATCCACCATAAATGATGAGGTATCAGTATTAAAAACACAAAAATATACATATTGCAAGTGCAGCCTTATAGTACTAGCAAGCAAATCTCTGCCGGGCCTTTGGAAAAAGCCTAGAAATCTACATGTATTACACCAGTTTCTGGTATCCGTTTGGGAAAGATTTCCATACCTGGACTTCACTTGATACCCTGTGCATAAACCCTATGAGACTGGTCTGAAGAATTCTAAGTGTTTTTCTCAGTAAATTCTTCAGTATTTTCCACGCTAAATTTGACTTTTTAGCACATGATTGTTATCGCTTTCTGTTGGGTCACTGCAGGGAAATTATGACGACACCTGTAATATTGTTTCAAATTTCCAATAGAATACAGTTCTTACAGTAAAAGAAAAAATCTTAATTCAAGGAAAAAAATATTAGAGATGTTCATGTATGGGATTCTGTCCCTGGTTTGTGCTCGACATTTGTATTTTTGTTGTATGTATATAACTAATGTTTATCGTGAATTAAAAAAAAGGTCTCACCGCTTGGATTGCACCGTATTACAAGAGGAAATTCTTCCCGTTAGGACTATATCCAATTTGCTCACACCGAAAGACTTGGTTCACTTTGTCTCTGATGCCACGGTTCATTAAAAAAAAAAAACCTGAGCTCTTAAAAAAAAAATTCTTTCTCGGGAAAAATGTTGCAACCTGACGCCACTTATTTCTTCATATATTCATCTCAATGAAGGTCAGTCATTGCCAAAATGACGATAAGACATGGATCTGGGACTGAGAAACATTTCAAATTTTGTTAGGAAATACTTGTCAAAAAAATTGTCTTGACTCTCCATACACTTTGGACACAAACGCTGAGGTGGCGTCAGGTTGCAACATTTGTGTTCCCTTTCGGGCAACAAGTTTTCAATTTGGATTTTATTCCGATTGTGGGTACCTGCACAAAATGAACCCGCCGGCATGGCCGAATTATTGTCTATTAAGTTAATAACTTTGATATTGAAAAAAAACCTTGATATTATTTTTTTTTGTTTAGGTCATACTTGAGAATAACACAGGGAACAATCTTTAAATCGAGAATTTGTTTTTTTTATTTGCTTCAACAGTTTAGCCTGGTTTGCGACCGGGAGGATTTGGCAGGCCTGGCCCAGTCAGTCTGGTTTGCTGGTCTGCTGACGGGGTCCTTGGTATGGGGTTCGGTGGGTGATTGGTAGGTATTATGCTTTGGTGCGGCCAAAACCTAAATAGCGATTAGGTTTACGGTTGCACATGCACAATGCACGGAGCAAGGAACAGATAGGGCGACTGTATAGCCATTGTATATGGATACAATTAAAGCTAACATCTTTGAGCTGAGTTGCCTATCAGTGAGTGACTGCCAAAGAATTTACGAGAACCAAAACTGAGTATAGGTGGGATGTTCTTTTCCCTTTTCAATCAGAACCTGTAGAAAGCTTGAACAGCCGAGGTTATAGCTCTTAAAGATGCATTCTAATTCGATGTTACAGGTAGTATAGCTGTCATTTTGTCCTCTGTAAGTTAACGAAGTGAAGTTATCATCGTCTTCCATAGGTTGGGAAGAAGGAAGACATCTTTCCTCAGCCTAGCCCTCGTCGCCGTCTCATCAATTGTGACGACCTTCGCTCCGAACTTCGCTGCTTTTGCCGCCTTGCGTTTCATTACGGCAGCCTGTGCATTCGGAGCCTTCCTCATGACGTATATTATCTGTAAGTTTATTTGTGTATACGAAATCATGATTAAAATGATAAACTGATGCAGTGGATGCACTACAGCCCGATTCGGCCCGAAATGTGGTGGATGGTACCCCGAAGCACACAGCTAATATTCGTTCACGCGTGCGGAAAGGAGCCCTGCTGATTTCCTTCGACCTCGTTTTCCCCCAGATTTTGGGTTGCGCTACCTCAAAAAACCACTTATAGGTCCAGAAAGTAATGCCTTTATGGCGATTTAAGGGGCTTTTCCAAAAAAAAAGCGACTGGACCTGGACAAATTGAGAGAAAATGACCCAAACGTTCTAGCCCTGTACATTTTCAATTCGCTCTTTTCACGCTTCGCCATGGGCGTGCAGAGCCTCGATCTGGCAACTTTACACAATAAAAATAGCCAGTTCAGTGATCTGAACCCCGACACGGGAATCACTGAACCGGCTATATTATTGTGTAAAGTTGCCAGATCGAGGCTCTGCATGCCCATGGCGGAAGTGTGAAAAGAGCGAATGGACCGCTTTCGCTTTTTGCCGCCAGGGCCATTTATGCGCATGCGTGCTTAAATATGAATTTATTAGTAAAAAAGTCCATTCTGAGCGGGGACACAGACCTCGCACCCCCCCCCCCCCCCCCCCCGGTTACTTCATGTTAATTCTTCAAATGAAAATACATGAGGTATTGTCTTAAATGGACCCCGACTACAAGAATTTACATACATGTAGCAACTACAGGGTGAGTAAAAAAAAACGCAACCCAAATATCAAGACCATTGTTTTAGTGAAGTTCTGCATGTAGCACTTTTAAAATCTATGATATAAAAGCCCAATTCATAAGCATTCATTTAGTACAAAAATCATTCAAATCACTTACGTACTTTTTAAGTTACGGAATTTTAAACACAACCACCGTTTTAAAGTTATATCCACGGATCACAAAAAAGATAAAGTGTTCTTTCAGCAAAACGAAAACAAATCACATAGGGATGGGTGTGAATTGTTTTCGTTTTGCTGAAAGATCGCACACCTCTTTTTGTGATCCGTGGACAGGACTTTAAAACGGAGGTTGTGTTCCATAACTTGAAAAGTACATGAGTGATTTGAATTGTTCTTATACTAAACGCAAGCTTATGAATTGGGCTTTCCTATCCTAGATTTTGAAAGTGCTACATGCAGAACTTCACCAAAACAGTGGTCCCGACATTTGGGTTTCGTTTACTCACCCTGCATAGGAATTTGTTACACGGAAATCTTATGAACTGATGATGGTTCCGAAAAATATCAAAGAATAACTTAGATTCAATCCTAAGCTATGATCTCCGTGATACCAAAAAAATGTGGCTCATTTTTGCAATATTTCTACCGGCATGAGACACAATAAATACACATAATGGTCTCGGTCGTGTATATGAATCTAATTTAGAGATGAGATTTGCAAATTTTCTTTTATGGATATCCGAGCCACTTCATAAAAGCATTTATTAATGTATTATTATTCAGCTTCGGAGATAGTTGGACCCAGCAAGCATGTGCTGGTCGGGACCGTGGCGGTAATATTCGCTTCCATCGGTCATCCTGTCTATCTTTGCATACTTTATACGGGATTGGCGCCACCTCCAATTAGCGATTTCGCTTCCATGGGTGCACACCTGTAAATAGGCTTAAACCCATCCGCCGAGCTCATGAATAAAAGTTATACCCTCAAAATATTCTATATTAGAGAGTTCTGAGAGCCATAACATTGGGGAATTGAAGAGATGAACCTCTGGCCCGGACTCGGGGCTTCCAATTCTGAGCATTTTGGATACAATTGGGCTCGAAAGTGGCGCTATTTTGCCATGTTGTGGAGGGATCGTTTTTCAAGATGGCTACCGTTCCGCTTTGGGGAAAATAGGGGTCGTCTTCTTTGGGCGAGAATTTCTCAAAAAGTCAATGGTCAACCCACCAAAAAATGAAAAGAACTGGAAATATGACATGTCGGTCATCATTTTTCTGTGCAGCTTAAATACCTGTGAGAGTTCTGAGTATTCTTAAAAGAATTTTGAAGTATGGGCATTTAGCACTAGTAGCTATGGGAATTTTTTGGCACTGTTGCACCCATTATGTTGTGGCGTAGTTACATAGTTACTGTTAATCTTCATAAAGCATTTATTAATGTACTTTTTTCAGCTTCGGAGATAGTTGGACCGAGCAAGCGCGTGCTGGTCGGGACCGTGGCGGCAATATTCGCCTCCATTGGCTACGTCATCCTGTCCATGCTTGCATACTTTATACGGGATTGGCGCCACCTCCAATTAGCAATTTCGCTTCCATATGTTGTGGCGTTCCTACTCGTATTGTAAGTACATAAATTTACATATTGTAGATCCAACTCGTATTGTAAGTACATAAATTTACATATTGTAGATCCAACAAGTTCACAGTGAACATAGACCTTATGCTATGCGGGTGTCTCACCGGCTGATCTTTGGTTTTTATAATCTAGTAGTAACAATGAAAGCACAAAATGTTTACACACGCCCACCCACACACACACGTTTACGTTACATACCAAGTGTGGACATTCCCTTGATTTCGTGTAGTTAAGAAAATCCTCTGACAAAAAAACCTCATTTTACTCTCACTGTGAAATTACTTTCAACCCAATTTTTTTCTCTATGATTCCCTTTTGTGTTTCTCTTCATTTTGCCACATATAAACCTAACCCCAAAATGCCTCTAAACCTGTTTTCCAGAAATGGGGAAACACTGTGTGGACTAGCCCAAGTCCACACAACGTCGCGTCTACCTGGTTTATGAGGACCTCTTTTGTTCGGAAGTCCACACAGTGAATGTAATGCCTACCCACGCACACACGTTTGCATGGTGTAAATCGAGATTTTCTTTTGTTCCTCTTCCCTTTTCCTTTGTTTGTACTAACTTTTTTCGCAACAGCTCTCATTCGTTTTGTACACGTTTTCTAATCGAGGTCGTCCTCGATTGGGTTCCTGTCCTCGATTCACCGATGATGTTGCACGTGTGTGTGTCCTCGATTTACACCATAAACAAACGCATCTTTGTAAACACTGGCAATCGTGGACCCCCTATTGTCCCTATAATCATCATTCCTTTGTTTGTACTTTACAAACTTTACTTAACGAAATACTTTACTGGACTGGTATTATAGGGATTGACAGTCTAGAGCATTCTGTAAATCATGACTCCTGATGTGCTGACATTTTCAAGTAAAGTGGTATTTTTTTTTGGATCAATTTCCAAAGCTGGTCGGCCGACCAGCGTTAGAGAAAACTTTTCTTTTTTTTCAAAAACAACTACTAATTTTTCGTATTCAGTTAATTTTCCTTGCAATTGGTTACTTAGGCCTACCTATGAAGGGGTTGAAGCCGGGGAACCAGACTACAAGAACATGATTGGTTTCCTTTGCTTTTACGGCATCTATCGAACCCAAAACGTAAAACAAGACAATCTTCCTGCCAATGCATTTATTTCTGAAAATTACCTCAAAAGCAAATGTTTTACATTCCCTTTAAAGCATAACGTCTATTGACTTTTCCCAAAGTTGCCCACATACAATAAAGCAATGTTTTCTTCAACTTTAACAGGCCAGGTTGCTCTGTATATAGTATTGTTTCCATTTTATTTTTTACAAATGTCCGAACTCATAACATTCTATTGCAACTTGTCCATTTACCTATCAGGGGCGGAGCTAGCTATCAGGAAACGGGGGAGTTGATATAAAGGGGGAGGGGCGAGTCCAAGGCGTGTCCAAGGCTACTCAATAATATCTTTAGCATAACTTAACCCGATTCTTAATTAAAAGACAGATATTGTAAACAAATATTAGGGAGTATGTTACATGTTCTTCAAACAGTGCTCTAAAATTGCCGAAGTGCCATTGTGCTATCCAAAATGTGCAGAGTTGTGCCCGAGTCTCCCCGCTGGCTGATTTCGAAGGGTCGCTTCAAAGAAGCCGAGAAAATCATCACAAAAATCGCCAAAGTCAACGGCACCAAGGTTCCGGAAAACCTGTTTGAAAGTCTTGAGAACATCCAGGAAAATGAAACGGTACGGGCCCACGGCATGACACCCAATAATTTCAATAACAACTTTGTAGACTGTGGTATTCTGGGTTTAGCTGAAGGCCACCAAAAGCATATCTTCACTTCTATGTAATAACTTTTGTTCTATTCCAAAACAATCCTCCAAAACGGATTGGTGCTTAAATACAGGGTGAGTCAAAAAAAGCGGAACCCAAACCCCCAAAAATATATTTCATATTTAAACAAATATGTAGCACCAAAAATAATAATGACTGGAAAGCCAATTTCATAAGCTACTTTAAAATGAAAAAAAAATACTAAAATTGCTCAATCCGTTCAAAGAATATTACCATTTAAACGCAATGACCCTAAAACCTTTCTCGTCCAAAAAAGCAATTTATTGTGTGTTTTGACTGTTTGGAACAACAGAAAATGACACAGAATACATGTTTCAACAATTGTCACCACCTGTAGTGCACAATATCTTTATTAACAACCCCGGTTAGGCAAACAAAATGATTTATAAAATCTACTTTTTTTAAAAGATGGGCCTTCAAAAAGACTTTGTTGAATATTTTTAACGTTTAACTGAGATTTTAAGGCTGGTGATATTTAAAGACAATTGTGACGACGATTCTTGAAATCGCATTTTTTTTGGACGAGACAAGTTTTAGGGTCATTGTGTTTAAATGGTGATATTATTTAAACGGATTGACCAATTTCAGCAATTTTTTCATCTAAAAGTAGCTTATGAAATTGGCTTTCCAGTTATTATTATGTGCGGTGCTACATCTTTTTTTAAACATGAAATATAATTTTTGGGGTTTGGGTTCCGCTTTTTTTGACTCACCCTGTATTTGATTTAAAGTCCTTGTTGAGCTGATCACGAAAAGCCATACATGTTCTGGAATTAGCCACGGATCCTAGTACAAAATGCACTGAACGGACTTGCCTTAATTGGTTGGACGCGTGACAACGGGCCTTAAAGGGAAGATACAACATTTGCAAACATCAAAAAACGAAATGATCAAATTATATCACGAAATGTCTTACTGGATTGTTAGGGAATGACATTCTAAAAGCACCCTGTAAAATCGTGGCTCCTGCTGGTGTGCTGACATTTTCAAGAAAATTTTTTATTTTTTTCCAACGCTGGTCGGCCGACACTTTCCTATGGAGCCAGTGGTGGCCCACGGTCCACTGAGCACCATAAGAAAGCACACACGTAAACAAAGTGTAATGTCATCAGTATAGAGGCTTATTTGATAGCCACTGCATGCAGTGAAGCGGTAAAGCTGCGTCTTTGTTGACAAGTATTCATGATAATTGCCACCTGTACAGGCCGATATCGCCGTCTAACCAGCAGGAGTTTTGCCGAGTCGTTAATCCTTGTGTGTAGAATCCGTGAATTAACTTACCTTTCATATTGGGTGTTATTAGCCTGCACATTTTTGTGTAAGAAAAAATTGTAAAGTGTATTTGGTAAAAATATTTATAAGAAGCAATCGACAGCAAAATATCTATTTCAGTCTACAGCAGGATTCACATGTCATTATGGGTTCTCTCGTTCATACGTCTGGCTGACATTTTTATATCTGACTCTTTATGTATCACTCGCCAACAATGATTTTGATATGAATCATTTTTTTCTATGAAATTTCCGTTCGTGATTTCTCTCTCACACTTTTATTCAACCCATTATATTTTATTTAATTGGGCGTATAATATTATTTACTTTCGCATTCGTGGTTTTCCCTTGTCATATTACCTTTAATTGTGAGAAATAAGAATCACTTGCCTTCCATTTCTAGGATCCGAAGTCCAGCTCCGCTCGTCGGACGACCGTCTTGGATCTTTTCCGGACCCCAAACATCCGCAAGAAGACTCTGGTTATCTTCTTCAACTGGTAAACAACAATATATGTTAATACCATGAGACGTGGTTGTGATAAAGTACAGTTGAGCGCCATGTGTGTGGCTCATGTACAATGGTACGGGGTTCGAATCCTGATGGGACCGTGGTGTCCTTGGGCAAGACACTTTACTACAATTGCCTCTCTCGCCACCCAGGAGTAGAAAAGGGAGCCTGCGAGGTGCATGCCTGGTGAACAGGGCTATATATGTAAAAGCGCCTATCACTACATTGTCATCAATATAAAATAGACAACATGATACCAAGGGCGTTTACAAAGTCTTACAACAAGGACATCAACTTGCTAAAACCCACGGTTACATTAAAATATTGTACAGAGTGAGTATACCACAAAAAAAGAAACCCAATTGGTGCCCCCTTTTTTTATTAAAGAAGTTTTGCATGTAGTGTTTTCCAGATCTAAGATATGAAAGCTCAATTAATAAGCTTTCTTTTAGTGAAAGAATAATTCAAATCGCTTAATATGTACTTTTCCAGATATGGAATTTTGAACAAAAACACTGTTTTTTTTACCTCGTCCACGGATCACAATAAAGGTAAGTGATATTTCAGCAAAACGAAAACTATATACATATTTTTTTTAAAAACACATCAAAACAATCTGGTGACCATGATAACTGGCACTTAGCATATACATGTATAACATTCATTTTAAAAAACCTCCTGTTTCCAATGTTAACATGCTTTATGTCCAGAGTTTATACAGGGTGAGTTAAAAATTTAACGAAACCCAAACGTCGGGACTATTGTGTTATTGAAGTTCTGCATGTAGCGCTTTGAAAATCTAGGATAAGAAAGCTCATTATTTATAAGCTTTCTTTTAGTACAAGAATCATTCAAATCACTTATGCACTTTTCAAGTTATGGAATTTTAAACACAACCACCCTTTTAAAGTTCTGTCCACAGATCACAAAAAGGTGTGCGTTCTTTCAGCAAAACAAAACAATTCACACACATCCCTATGTGATTTGTTTTCGTTTTGCTGAAAGAACACTGAACTTTTTTTTTGTGATCCGTGAACAGAACCTTAAAACGATGGTGGTGTTTAAAAATCCGTAACTTAAAAGTACATGAGCGATTTGAATGATTCTTGTACCGCTTATATGAATGGGGCTTTTATATCCTAGATTTTGAAAGTGCTATATGTAGAACTTCACTGAAACAATGGTCCCAACATTTGGGTTTTGCTTTTTTTTACTCACCCGGTAGTCTTGCCCCGCCTGCCACTTGGCTACCCCGGAGACTCATGGGATTATTCTGATATCATTTTCAGGATGAGTCTTGTTAATTCTTTTCTTGACAGGTTTGTGACCAACATGACGTACTATGGGCTATCCCTCAGCACCTCCTCACTGGGCATAGATGACTACGTGGCCGCCTTTGTATCCGGTGCCTTGGAGGTACCAGCCGCCCTTTTTAACTGGTTCGTCATGGAGAAATTCGGCCGACGTTTCTCCCTGTCGGCTCTCTTTGTGTCCGGAGGCGTCTTCTGCCTGATAACCACCTTCGTTCGTACGTTTTTCTTTCTTCGATTTACACATGACGAAGAAGCATTTTACTAACGAAACCAAATACGATAGATGCTTCTTTCTTATTTTATTTTTTTAATATTTTGTTTTGGGTCACTTTTTTTTAGCTCTCGGTGCTGGCCGGGTCGCGGTGGCTATGATTGGCAAGTTCGCCATTACTGCAGTATTCAATCACATTTATATCTACAGTAGTGAGCTCTACCCGACCGTAATCAGGTAAACGATATCACAACTTTCATTAGACTAGGGCTGAAATCCAGTGATCAAATCCACCAGTGATCAAATCCCCACACTTCCCCACAATCCCCCAAAACTTTTTTAAATTACTCGGAACTCGCACAGGTATTCAGGCTGCACAGAAAACTGATGACCAACATGTCGTCTTTCATTTTCCTCTCAATTTTGAATGGGTGGACCAATGAAATTTTGGGGAAATTCTCACCCACATAGAAGACCACCCCTGAAAACGAGTGATGTTTCCCAAACTAGAAAAGTAGCCATTTTGAAAAAAAGGATCCTTCCACAACATGGCTAAAAAGCGCCACTTTTGGACTCAATTGCATCCGAAATTCTCAGAATTGGAAGCCCAAGTCCAGGCCAGAGGTGCGCAGTGCCATATTTCTTCAATCCCCCAATTCCATGGCCCCCAGAAAACTCTTATATATAATAATTTGATTAGTATAACAACTATTCAAGACTCGGCGGACGGATTGTTGGCCTATTAACTTGGTTGCACCCCTAGTGGTCATATTAAGATATGACGTAATCATGACGTTTGTCCGTTTGTACAAAGTCTTTTCCGTACACATTTTGTACACTAAGTAAATCACTCACCATACAAACAACAAAACTCATAACAAAATAGACTGGTTGGCACTTGTCCTTTGAAATTTATTTTAATGACATTAATTTAAACCATTCTTACCTTCATTTTATAAACTTTTGACAGGGGTATCGGCCTGGGAGCATCTTCCATGGTAGCCCGCGTGAGTGGGGTGCTTTGCCCCATCATCTTGATCCTTGGCAAATACTGGCAACCACTGCCTCTCTGTGTCTTCGGAGGCAGCTCCGTGCTGGCCGGGATGCTGTCTCTGATGCTGCCGGAGACCTTGGGCCGTGACATGCCGGACACTATTCAAGACGGAGAGCAAGCCGGGAGTAAGTAGTCCGAGTATCAGCCGTTGCCCAACGGAGCACTCTCCGTAACCAACGAGCATCCAGAAAAATGTGTTATGTACGATAAACAAGACGCACAAAATCGGTTACTCACGTCACATTTTCGTAACGTGAGTAACCGATTTTGTACGTCTTTTTTATCATACATAACACATTTTTCTGGATGTCATCTTTGGTGCTTAGGTAGGTCTAGGTCTACTCTATCTACCATGGGGATAACAGTTATTAAACCTTTTCAGTAAGGTAATTACAGCCCAAGGAAACTCAAAAGTACATCAAAAATGTAACGTGAGAAACCGTGGAATTGCCCATGTATATATACACCAACTTTAATTAAACGAAGTTTGCACATTCTAATTACCCTGCTTTATTAATACAAGTCCATCTCGACGCCTATTTCTTACAGTGGGTCCAGGGCTCAGTGTGTGCCGCAGGAAAGATCTTAAAGACGGCCTTGACTCCAAACCTCCCGAGAACCACCTTCCACTCTCCACAAACAACAAATCTGCGACTGAGCCGGTGGCGATCTGAGGTCTGAAGTTAAAAGTCGAAGTCCCAAGCTGTCTTTGTCTTGTCATTTTCTTAATTGGTTCGTTGGCTAAGAATCGCTGAAACAGTGTTAAGCTTTATATTACTGAATGACTTTAAAAGAAGTAAATGACAACCGTTTTAAACTTATTTTTCTCATTACCAGCTTCCTACTTCATGATTTACTTTTTTTCTGAAAATTAAAACTAGTCGATTAAAAATATATGGTTCGTTAGTTAGTTAGTTCGTTAGTTCGTTCAATTCAATTCAATATTACATTTATTTCCATACTGAAACAATAATATAACAGAAGCAAAATACAATATTGTGGAGGCACAATCCTAATAAGACAAGGTTTGTAGCTGAGTGCCTTTAGAAGAGAAAACAAAGACATTTCGTTAGTTAGTTAGTTCGTAACAAACGTTGACATTGTCCATTGCTTCTACATTTTTTGGACCGATTTCAACCAAACTTTGTCAAACTTAGTATCCGTGCTAGCACAGCCCCAACATGTCACATGACCAGACTGGGGTCAAAGGTCATCATGGGGTCCAGGTCAAATAACGTCAAATTTCAAATAAGCTCTTGGCAAATAACAAAAGCGCTGTCAAGATGTTGGCCTTGGTCACACATGTTTAAAATATCCATGTGACCTCTTCGTCTGACCTACAGTTACGGGGTCAAAGGTCAATATAAGGTTAACACATATTCGTTGGCCCGCAGCTTCCGAGATCCGATCGAGCTTGTTTTAATTTTAACTGAAACTTTGTATAAAAACAAGTAAAGTTATTTTATAGATTATTTATCACTTACAAAATATGTAATTTATTATTTATATAGGAGAAACGTGGAATACTGATGCAGGTTTATGTATAGGTCTAGGCTTATCTAACTGGACTTTCTTCTGCGTCTGTTTAAACATTTTAATATTTTCCGAAATTTTTGATTTATCATTTTGGTCGGTTGGTGGAAGGATTTAAAGAGATTTTAGAATTGTTTGTACTGGTTTAAGGGTATATATACATATATATTTATAGGAGAAACGTGGAATACTGATGCAGGTTTATGTATAGGTCTAGGGTTACTGCCAAAAAAAAAAAATAAGTCGGTCTCTGGTCAGCGCGCGCGTCGATTTTAAGCATGCGCGTCGATCTTTTTTTTTTTCCTAAATGTTCCGCGGTAGCTCCAACAGCGCCCTCTATTTCCGCACCTCCTCATTTTTTTTACCAAAGAGCACCAAGGAATGGGAAATTGCACCAAGGCAAATGATCGAAAGCACCAAGGCAAATTATGGAGGCCACCAATGTACATGAGGACACCAAAAAAAGCAAAATAGTACCCACCTTGTCTGTAGAATCCAAACTGAAGAAAAAAAAAAAAGGGGGGGGAAAAAAAAAAAAAGCCGCGTGGCCGCGTCAATTCCGGAACTTTGGTCTGACCAGAGACCGAATATTTTTTTTTTTTTGGCCTTATCCAACTGGACTTTTTTCTGCGTCTGCTTAAACATTTTAATATTTTCTGAAATTTTTGATTGATCATTTTGGTCGGTTGGTGGAAGGATTTAAAGAGATTTTAGAATTGTGTGTATTGGTTTAAGGGTACAAAAAAGACTAAGTAAAGAAAAGTTGCGAGTCACTAAACACGGTCGATACGTGGGGTTTATTGCCGTCTTGTGTGTAATACATCAAGAGGGTTCATGCCAAAAAAATTCTTAGGAACATAAATTGTGCGACTTTCTACTCTCAAATGTATGAAAACTATTTGACATCCCGTTTTGGCTACTTTTTATCGAAACTAGAGCACTCCTTTATTAGACAATTAAAATGTTCCATGCTTTTCCAGACAACTGAGGGCGCTGTTGCTGTGATGTAATTTTTAGGAAGGCACTGTTCAATTTATGGGTTTTCTGTCAAAGTTTTGAACCCAACAATGTGCTCACTTTTTTGAAAACATTTGTGAGAAAAGTTTGCTCATTGGCTTGACTGACGTGTACCGACACAACAATTACGGAATCACCAAAGAAAAGAAAATATACAACAGCAGAAGTATCGTGGCAACTTCTAGTGCAGAAAAAGCTGTAACATTTTAGGTTTCTGCCATGCCTCAAATGACATCACAATTTTGCGAACAAATGGAATTTTGCATTGCCATCAACAACAAAAAAGGCACCAACTCTTGAAAATGGCAAAATGAAAATTGAAAATAAGGTTAAATGGGACACAAAGGTGCATTGTCAAGGATTGCAAAATAATGTAAACATTAATTAGCCCTTATGGTATAATTAAGCCTATACCGTAACAGGGGCGGCAGAACCGGGGGGGTGGCACTCCACCCCCCCCCCCTCCCCCTCCCCCCCCCCCCCCCCCCATTTACCCAAGGGCCCCTTTCTTGCGGACATACATGTGCACCCTTGAGCATTATGTAGCATCCCTTTTTTCAGTCATAATATGCTTCCGTTTTTAGACACTGCTTTCACTTTCCAACAATGAATTTCCTTAGATTGGCATTTTTTTTCTGAGATTTCCTCAGAATTTTACTTGGATTTTCTCGGGGTTTTTTTCCCTTAAATAATTATGTAACTTGAAGTAACCATGGTAATAATGAAGTGGATATTTCTTACCTGTTTAGTTCCTCCATTTTTCAAAGAAAGGCCTCACCAAAGCTTAGCCGCGTCCTGATCCCATCATCCATGCAAGTGCGTTTATACACCCTGACCAGACTAAAGCGAAAACCAGACTGGGGCCAAGTCTAGATCAATGTTGACCCAGTTCGTGACCTTTGAGGACAAAACCATTTTTGTTTGGGTTAGGAACGTTCATTATATACACTAAATAGTAAAAAGAGGGCAAAGTTTTGTTAGCTTTCATGATAAACATTGATTGGACTTGTAAGAAATTACTTCTTCTTTTTTTTTTACCAAACTTCAGATATAAGCAATTTAAAAGTTTATCTAGAACATGTTGTGGACATTCAAACACCCCGATATGCAAAGTGGACTGCTCTGTTGACAGTATTAATTCGACCTTGCAAGTAAAATGGAATTTGGTGCACATGTCTCTTTATTTTTTTAGCTATTTTCCCCGAATTGGCTTTTAATATTTGATTTTTTTACATCGATCACCATGACGCACAATGAAGCCAGAGGGCATTGGTTCAAAGAAGGAGCCATCGGACTCGGAGGTCAGTGTAAATATTGAAATTTAGAAAGCCGGCCTAGAATCATTCAGTTTTTTGCGTGGATTTATATGAGTGTTTGGACAGTAGAGGGCGCTGTCAGCCTGTGATGCTTTATTATAATATCTTTAAAAAACATCCTAGACCGGCAATTTCTATACTTTATTAACCCTCCTATATGCAACATGCCTTCTGTGCCTAGTTGTCCTTTCAGTCAAAATCAATCAAGTGACTGTTTTCAACAGTTGTTGAGCTCCCACAGCAGTCCCAGTCCCCAGCCTACAAAAAAAAAAAAAAAATTAAGGGCAATTTGGATACCTTCACTTGTCTTGTACTTCAGACCTTACCCTTGTTTAAACTTGGACGCGCAAGTTTAAAACTTGCGCGCACTCAATTTCCTTGCTGCGAATTGCGCACACTTACCGAGGCGCAAAGCCATACATGCATATGTCATGGCCTTAAATATGGCTGGAGTTAACTTCGAGTTTTTTCTTGAGTTTGTGACTCAAAATGAACATTGTATTGTCTTTCTTGGTCGCCAAACAGAAAAAAAAACTATGCGAAAACTCATTTCTCAAATTACATTGGACTGTATTTGTTTTTATTTTGAAAACAGTTGGAGTTTTGTATGGAGTGACTAGTGTGTGCGTGGGTCACCCATTCGACACCATCAAGACCAAAATGCAGGCTCAGGTTGGGTTTGAGAAAGACGGCCTCTTCAGAACGCTCACTAAAACCTTCAAAACACAGGGTATCATCGGTTTCTACAGGTGAGACATAAAGACAATACCCCGGACTTTCCTCATGCAGTGTTGCCAAACTTCTTTGTTGACAAACTTCAAATTCATTCAGTGAAATTTACTGGTACTTTTACCTTTAAAGGGAAAATACAACATTTGCAAACATCAAAAAACGAAATGATCAAATTACCACGAAATACCTTACTGAATTGTTAGGGACTGACGGTCTAAAGCATCCCTTAAAATCGTGGCTCCTGGTGGGCTGACATTTTCAAGAAAAACTGTATTTTTCCAACACTGGTCGGCCGACCAGCGTTGGAGAAAACTGGCTTTTTTTCAAAAACTGTTCTTAATTTTTCATATTTAGTTATTCTGACTTTTCTTTGCAATTGATCACACACCTGTGAAGGGGTACAAGCCTGCTAGACTGATTCTCTGACCTTACAATTCCCCAAAGTGTATTAATTGCTTCGTTTCATCTTTAGTGGGGTCAGGGAACCAGACTACAAGAACATGATAGGTTTTCTTGGTTTTTCCAGCATCTACAAGCCCAAAACATGATACAAGTCAGTTTAACAATATTTTATATAACATACTAATCCTCCAAATCCATTTATTTCTGAAAATTGCAGCAAAAGCAAATGTTGTACATTCCCTTTAATGCAAGCTATTTAATCTCTGTGAATAATTTCGGTGTCATTAAATTTAATCCGAAATTCCAAAACTGTGGCGTCCAGAAGTTGGGCACACAATCGGCTGAGTGTTCCCTTAGGTGGCGCTCTCGAATAAATCTCGGAAAAACTCCAATTAACATTGAAGAATTTCTGTAAAAATGACAAATTCTGATAAACCATTATTATCTCTACTTACATTCTACATCTCTACTTATTTTTTGGGGACATTTTCAAAGGGTTCACTGTGCGCTTTGAAATAAAATGGGAAAATCACGCCGAAATAATTTTTTCTTCTAGTTTTGTAATGGGTAGATAAACTCCTGATTTATGAACGGGAGTGTTCAGAACTTGATGAAATTTCTCTTTCTGTGAAATTTCAGTGAAAACTTTTGCTCTAGCTAGGCGCTACAGGCGCAAAATCAAAGTGCGCCACGTTAGGGGCCGCACCAAGTTAGGGTACTTCAACAATATGTGAGTCTCTGGCAAAAAATAAGCAGCAAGTCGGACATTTTAAGAATGGAGATATCGTAAGGTGCGTGGAAAAAGGTCGTTAGGGCGAAAAATGGGTCAAAAGGTCGAATTCGGATTCTTCTTATTTAATTACAATGCGTGTACCTTTTTTCTTTCCATTTTTGCAGAGGCTCCATTCCTGTTCTGTGGGGCTCTGGCATTTACAGGTCTACACAGTTCGGCGTTTTTGAATCAGTGTAAGTGAAAGAAAGACTTAAAAACTGATTTTGAAAAGTCAAGTTTATTAATTTGTTAATTCCACTTGAAATGAAATAGAACTGTAATGGCCCGACTAGAATATCGTTCCCAATTTAAAGGCAGAGTAGATCATTTGCAGCTATCCAAAAAGTAACTGACGAAATTATCATTGAAAAGCTTACTTGGTTTAAAGATGATAATGGCACTAAACTCCCTGTGAAATTGTTCTTCCTGGCATGCTGTCATTTTGAAGAAAGCAATGAAAGAAGGCCATTTCCAAAGATGTGTCAAGTGACACATTTTTGGAAATGTCCGTTAGTATGATTGGTTTGTTATTTGTCAAATTCGTGAATGGGTGCGCACAAGCGTTGATATGACGCACACGCGAGCAGTTGCTATCATTCGTCGGTTCAGTGCATGACATCACGTAGCTGCAATCGGCTGAATGAGAACGTGTCCGAGATGCTGATTTCGGACGCACTTTTTGAAAGTTTGAAATCGAGATCTAAGAATATTGCTTTCATGGAATATACAGCATTCACTGAGCTTAAAAACTTCATCAAGTTTAGTTGATAAGCACCTGTCTTTAGATTTTGTGCACTTTTGTTGCTTCTACAAAACAAAATGCACAAATGACAATTGAGCTACCGTACTAGTTTGGACCTTTAAAATTCCAACAGCATTGCACATAATCTTAAGTACAAATACATAACAACTAACCTGTTGAAATCTCAGCTCAATGGATACTCTACACCTAAAGACAACAGACAAAATGTATGCACAATATTTTGAAACCACCTTCGATAGTATTTGTTCTGCCAAATAATACAATTTCAGGCGGAATAATAATTTCACAGGGTATTTGATACCAGTCCTATCTTCCCGTTGAACAAGGTTTCTGTCACTAAATTGAAAGGTTAAGTGACCCTTTGTGGCATTAATATTTCACTTTCTTTTGTCGTTATTGTTTTGCAGATACACCTTCCTAGATAATCCATTTTGTAAAAACGAAATTCCGATGACGGGAGGCTTGCAAATGTAAGTGAGTAAAGCCCGGTTCATACTTCATGCGAAAGTGAAGCAAAATTCGTGATGTCAACAATACATTCGAAGCGCGTCTACCATTGTTGACGCCATGAATTTCGCTTCGCACAAGCTTTCGCGTGAAGTATGAACCGGGCTTAACAAGAACTTTGTTTGTGAAGTTGATTTGTTTGCTTGCAGTGTTTGTGCCATGTTTCTGACTGAAATCTTTCCGTTCTCATTCTCAACTGCTACAGACGAGTGTTGCTGGCTGGCGCTTGTGGCTCCACAGCTAGGGCCATCATTGAGTCACCGTTAGAACTTGCAAAAGTAAGACAAACTGGTTGGACTTAAAAAAAAAAAATTAACAGGGACATTTGGAAGGTCAAGAGGTCATATAAAAAGATTTTCAAAATAATAAACCATACAGTGCTGGGGCAGTTTTGGGCAGTAAACAGAGTAACAGGCAGAACGCTTAGTTGCTGGAAAAGGAACTAATGGGCGGACAGGGTTATAAAGAAATCTTTCAAGAAAAAGCAGTGCAAAGAATAAGATAGATTTGATCATAATCATTTTTTCAACATTTTATTTCTTTAATTTAATAATGATTTGTTGGTTTTCTTTTTTTTCGCACAGATCAGAAGACAAACGCAGCAGACGTGGCAGTTCAGAGGGCTTTACAAGGTTAAACAAGTTGCATGACTTGACCGATTCATTCTATTCCTTCGTAGTCTGCCTAAAACCATGGAAACAGGATTGCAGAGCCCTGGTATATGCACCTTACATGGGGCCACCCCCCCCCCCCATCCCTTGCTTTTCAAATTTGCAATGGCGAGTTGGCCATCCCCCCCCCCCCAAAAAAAGGGTTCTGAATCTGCCCTTTCTTGACCTCTGAACTTGCCAACCAGGGCCCAATTTCATGGCACTGCTCAACAGTTAGCAGAAAAAAAGTTTGCTAACTGTAGCAAAAAATTATGCGAACTGATGATCATCTTAATATCATCACAGTTACACTCGGGTCACCAAAAAACGGCAACTGATATGTTCCCTACGTACCTTAGGCACAGCTTGTTCCTGAAAGCCAGTCACCGACTGTTCTGTGTCTTCGTTAGGTCGACCTGAGGACGGCTTTAGAGTTCTTCACCTTCATGTAACTATTTTAACTTTGTACCATTAGTTACCGTCTACATGTCTCCTTGGCAGGGTTTTGGGGTCCACTGGTGTCGGACGATGGGCCTGATGTGTACCTACTTCATCCTGATTGACACCCAGCGGCGACATTTCCCTCAGGTCTTCAACTCCAGCGTTATCGGCCCGTTCCTGGTCTCGGGCACTGCTGCCACATATCCTTGATATAGCCTTATTCAAAAGGCCCCCCTCTCCCCCACAAAAGAAAGTCAAATATTGCTCTGTGAGTGTTGTCGGCAAGAATATAGTATATTTGTATGGACCATTAGAAATGTAGGGGCCATTAGTAGAGGTCATTAGAAATGATGACTTTGACGCAACCTTTCTGAAAGGGCAGTACAACTTTTGATTGATCGGTTGCTGGTTAAAACAAAAATTGGAAAAAAAAGTTTTGCATTCAAAAAAACTTGTATTTTGAGTTCACTAACTGATCATTTATGACTATCTGATTATGGTTGATATAAGGATCTGAACTTGGAATTGCGATGTCTCATTAAGAGCCCTCCATTTTTAAATATCACTTGTAACCAATCCTTGACTCGTATCTTACGCTAGCTTGGTGGATCGTGTGGCCGCTGGAGTATATGAAATCACAAGTGCAAGGAAACTATGGAAAGTAAGTCAAGTTGTTGCGGAACTTAGTCGTTAAAAAATTTACAAAACTGTTCTGATGGTTCTAAATATAACTGACCTGAGGTGGGGTGGGGGAATTGTTAAACCCAGTGTTTATAGAAATTGGATTTGCTGCTTTTGAGTTGAAGCCTTTTATACAAATATTCTTTTGCAAGCAGGAGGTCGTGGGTTCGACTCGCTCGAGTCCCATCCGAGTGATTTTTTCCACCTTTCTCTCGGAGGGTAACACACTGAGTATACAGTATTTATACATCAGTGAAGGGCAAAACCTAATATTGAATCTTCATTTTGATGGGACTGAACAAATACGAAATGTCAAATAATGAAATAATGAATAATGAAAGGTTTGCGAAAACACCATGTGCGAATAATTTCTCAACTAAGAGAATGATTCTGAAAAGAACCAGAGGTATAAACTCGACGTTCCAGTCAGTATGCTCTGACCGTCTTCAGGAGAATGACCTACGAAATGTCATCATAAATCTGTGCCCATTTTCAAGTCTTGACATCCCCCTCTGACTCCTGTACAGGGACATGCCCGTCTTAACCCGGATGCGCTTGGTCGTCAAAGAGCGCGGGGGCTTCCTCGCATTGTACCGCGGCATCGGGCCGGGAACCATCCGGAGCTTCATCTCCAACGGGACTAGCATGATCGTCATGGCCAACGCACAGAAGAAAGTGTCGGAGTGGGGCTTGAGAGATTGATATTAAAGATGGCAGCATCCTCGCTAGCCAGGCAGTCTTATGTCGTAAGACACTCCAGCAAAGGGAGTCCAAATCTTTACCCTTTTTTAAACTCAACGTCAACCAATCAGATTCTCTGCAACGTCTGGGTATATTCAGGTCAGGAATTACAAGGTCAACTTTATTAGCCAATAGACGTTTATCGTGCTGCCACCATTTCAGTCATGTTCCCTGTATCAAATAACAGTACCGAATGATAATGTTTTTTGTGCAAAAAGGAACCAGACTATTTTTTCTTCCAGCCTCACTTTGGTTACATTGATTTGAATGGGCAAAAATCAAGATGGCCGCAACATGATAATGGTCTATTGCAGAGCACTTTTTCGGGACTGTGCAGCTCGCTTCCACTTTATTTGGTAGGAGGCCAATTCTGGGTCAGCATTTTGTAAAGAGCGATCTGATTGGTCAGAACGATCTGATTGGTCAGAATTTACGTCAGTCCATATTTGGAAGTGTTCATGAATAATTACATGAATAATTTCATGTTAAATAGAAAAGATATGGACTCAGTCTGCCAGGGTACAGTCTGACAATGTAGGCGTGTAAGAACACCCTGGCTAGTGAGGATGGATAACAGTTGAAATAGTAAATCCTTGCTGGGATGGCACAACCTCGTCCCCATGGCATTGAGCAGTACGCTCCCACTAGCTACTCTGTCGCATTGATACTGGATCATATGCAATATCCGTGAAATCTTGGATATTATAATTAGGTGCTGAATAGGCCAGTGCCTGTACAACACTCTCCATGTTTGTTTCAGATAGCAAACTTGGTAAAATGAAACATTGAAAGAATTTTTTCACAAAAAAAGTTTGGGAACATGACTTTGGTGCCTCTGAAATAGACTGGTTCCTCTGGATGGAAGTTGCATCATACCAGTTTACTGCGTCTTCAGCATTCGCACAAATATTGGCCTGTTTGTTTGTTTATTTGTTTGTTTGTTTGTTTGTTTTTTGGTCAAAGCATTAATGTATTTCTTGACAGCTGTATTTCTTGTGTATTTAAAACTTACATGTGCTTTAAAATTTTCAGAGTATTTAAAATACTATACTTGCCTGGATACAATGTATATATTTTTAACGGGAGTTTGGGTTTGTAACAGTATTTTTTCTCATTGAAAGCTCAATTTTCTTTTTTCATTTTTAGTAATTTCCCAATACCTTAAAGGAAATATACATTTGCAAACATAAAAAAACCTACCAAATTATCATGAAATACCTTACTTAACTGCAAGTGAATAATAGTCTCAAACATCATGTGAAATCATGGCACCTGGTGTGCTGTCATTTTCAAGAAAAGTGGAATTTTTGTATCAATTTCCAACGATGGTTGGCCAACCATCATTGGAAAAAAACTGATTTTTTTTTTAACACTTCCACCAATTTACTAAATTTAGTAAGTCCACATTTTGTTTGCAATCGGTTTCACATCCGTGAATGCAAGCCCTGACCTGACAATTGTCTTTAAGAACGCGTGCAGCATGCACGGACATGGTTCCACCTAAAAAATAGCATCTAATTGTGTGCGCTGAAGTATATTTGATATCTTGTTTGAGAGCAAAGCGAATTCACTGAGATTATTGAGAAAATCACAATGAAACATTTTCTCTGATATCATGGAATTGATGTTGGTAGCAACAAGAAAAACTGACCTTAATTATGGCAATAAACTTGCAAACAAATATTTGTTTAAATGTTCCCCAAAAGGACGACTGACCCGCCGAAGGATCATGTTTGAAAATGGAAAGAGTTTTAACTACATTTTTGTACATCAGTAATATACATATCTACAACAACCGCCAAAAATTATTTTTTTTTTTTCTGTTATAACCCTTAGGTGTTTGTTTATTTTTAAAAAATGAAATATTTCACAACAATGTGGTATTCAGTATATAACTTATGGCCATGGAAATCTGGTTTGCTATTTATTTATTTTTTCCAACTATTTTCAACATTTTTCGAATAATTTTATCAGGTATAGTTATGTTTGTCTGCTTAAAAGAAGTTATTTTCACAGTTTGGGGTATTTTATTAGAATTGTGAAACCTTCAAAAGAATTATGCAAAAAAAACTGTAACTTTTGTGAGTTGCACAGTATTATGAGGTACAATGACAAATTCATGTAAAAATTGTAAAAATTGAATTTTTATAAGCACTATAATGATTTAAAATAACCCAAGGTTGTATTTTATATGAAATTCTTTTAAGGTTGAAATAACATGAGAAAGACTCATATGAACTCTAATGTCATTTGTTTGAAACTTTCTGGTGTAGAACCAAAATTTATGAAGAAAGTGAGGATTTTATCAGAACAGCCTGCAAGATGAGTGTAGCATGCCTTCATTCAACTCTTGTGCAATGTTTCAATTGTCATCAACGTGTGATTTTGTTATTTAAAGCGACTAGTACAAATTTTCAACAATTTTTCCAAAATTTGATTTCCTTCCCCAAAATACTTCCCATATTAAAAAAAAACCAATGGAATGCTGAGTAATTGTATGTTGTTCAGTACTTATCTGAGAGTGTTTGAGAATGAAAGAAAACTTTCTATTTTTTCTTTCTATTTTTTGAGGGTGTATTTTACTACGTTTTAGTAGTATTTTAAGTCAACATCACCAATTTGGGGTTTTTTTCGTGAACTTATTTTGGTCGTTCTACTTTTCTGTTTTCATTTCATTCTTCTTTCGGACTAGTTCAAAATTAATTTTCTTGATTGATTTTTTTTATTAATGTCTGTTTCTTTTCGTTGAATGATTTTTAACTAAAAAGAACACCTTTATAATATTGACGTGATATACACGAAGTGTAAAATAGTGTGCATGACATCAAAAGTGTCACGATGTAACCATAAACACCAACGATTTAATAAAAAAAAATAAAGAAAAAACTTAATTGAGTTTGAGATATTATTTTGTGATTTTTTTTCTAAGTGAGAGACTTGGCTAGTCTAGTGATGGCAGAAACAAGACCGTTTTTTAGTGCTTGTAGCATGAAACAAGTCTAAAATACTTGCATGAACTTGCTGCACGAGGGCGCTGTTTTGCAACCCAACTTTCAAAACAGAATGGCGGACGAAATCCAAGATATCGAAGACGAGATTGATGTCGAGGGATTCGACGAAAAAGAAGGGTAACGATTGCATTTTGTGCCATTATTTGCTGATTTTACGGTAAAGATACTGCTGTTAGTTATAGATGGCATCTTATTTATTTGGTAAATGGAGTAAAATGATTGTTACGATATGACATTTGTACTTGTCAGCTTGTCATGTTTGTTTACATGTGAAGTGCGTTGCATCAATTTCGTGAAAGAAATGGGGGAAACTTTCTGCGATTGTGTAGTTACGGTCAAATTAGAGCCAAGGGTGTTTTTTATCATTCAAAAATGGTACTCCTTATCTTTAGGACACCTCTATTTTACGAATACGAGTTCTGTTCAAAACTCAATTTTCATGATTTTGCATAGGGCCTAGGCCTTGTTCAACTTCAAGTCAGACCAGCGATCGTGAAGTGTAGGGCCCCTGTTTTGTTTTGATCAAATTACAGTCAAAAATGTTTTTTATTGCTCAAAAATCACCTTTACAATCAAAAGCAGACTTTTCTCAATTCTAATGACACCCGTTTTGCAATTTTCAACAGATTCTTGGGGTAGAAATCACGATTTTCCCGCGCGGTTTGTGCCTTGCTATTCAGTGCGCCATGCGTGTTCACGGTACATCGCGCGGTTATTGCCATCTTTATTTTCGGGTCGCGTGTTGTCGCTGTGCTGTCATCGTCATTTTACCCCCAAATTTCCCTCAAAAATCAAAACCCTGCCCTCTATCCATGACATAGGCCTACCTGTTTATTGAGAATGTCGCCAACTAGTTTGGTAGGTCCAATAATTTTAAAGTGGATTTTGTTCCCTAATACTAGAACCGGGCCCTACACTACACTAACTGGGGCGCTAGAAGTAGAACTCCTTTTTTGACATTTGGGATGTGGCCTGTCGTACTAGCGCCCCACAACGCATAAATCCTCATTTCAGAGAGTGTCAAATAAATGTCATTTTTCCAGACCATTCCCCTCAAAAGTTGCCAAACATCACACAAAATACTTGACAAAAATACCTTTCAACGCACCTACTGGCTTTTCCACATGTCAAAGATGAAGCAATGTAGTTTAGTCGGAAAAGGGGGGTATCGTGCACCCTCGGAAATCAATTTCTAATCAACGTTCCTAGGTCAGAAAAAATGCGTAGAAAACGATTTGCTATGTTAAAAAATTCAAAAAATGTCCCATGTATTGTTTTTATGCAAATTAGTGCCGCCATTACCGAAAAATCTATTTTTAATTATATCTCAGCCAGTATTGCAGATAACTGAACGAACTAGGTGTCTAAACCCATGTTTTCAAGGTCAGAGATCACAATAAAACTATTCTGGAAGTGACCACATGTGTCTGTGGCATAGGAATATGCAAATTAGTGCCGCTAATACCGGAAAATCATGTTTTTGGCATATCTCGGCCAATATAGCACATAAGTACACCAGTAAGGTGTCTAAACCCATGTTTTGAGGGTCAAGTATCATTAGAAGACCATTCACGAAGTAACTTTGTGTGTCTTTGGCATGAAAATATGTAAATTATAAAGTGTCGGTTTATCAGATATTTGATTCTTAGCCAATATCTCGGCCAATATTGCACTTAACTGCACAAGTAAGGTGTCTAAACCTATGTTTTGAGGGTCAGGTATCATTAGAAGACCATTCACGAAGTAACTATGTGTGTCTTTGGCATGAAAATATGTAAATTCTAAATTGCCGGTTTATCAAAAAAATTATTTTCAGCCAAATTATATTCAATTTCAGCCAATATTACAGTTTATTTTGAATATGATGGCTTAAAATAAACTTTGATCATTATTGCTTATTAAAAACCCTTCTGTCAACATTAGCTGCAATATTGGCCGAGATGTTGGCTAAAAATCAAATTTTCGATAAATCGACACTTTAGAATTTACATATTTACCTGCCAAGGACACACATAGTTACTTTGTGAATGGTTTTCTAATGATACCTGACCCTCAAAACATGGGTTTAGACACCTTACTTGTGTAGTTATGTGCAATATTGGCGAGATATTGGCTAAAAATCAAATATCTAATAAACCGACACTTTATAATTTACATATTTTCATGCCAAAGACACACAAAGTTACTTCGTGAATGGTCTTCTAATGATACTTGACCCTCAAAACATGGGTTTAGACACCTTACTGGTGTAGTTATGTGCTATATTGGCCGAGATATGCCAAAAACATGACTTTCCGGTATTTGCGGCACTAATTTGCATATTCCTGTGCCACAGACACATGTGGTCACTTCCAGAATAGTTTTATTGTGATCTCTGACCTTGAAAACATGGGTTTAGACACCTAGTTCGTTCAGTTATCTGCAATATTGGCTGAGATATACTTACAAATAGATTTTTCGGTAATGGCGGCACTAATTTGCATAAAAATAATACGTGGGACATTTTTTGAATTTTTTAACATAGCAAATCGTTTTTTACGCATTTTTTCTGACCTAGAAATGTTGATTAGAAATTGATTTCCGAGGGTGCACGATACCCCCCTCTTCCGACTGAACTAATGGGGCTTCAGTGATACTCACAATTATTTTTTGGGTTGAAAATCCGTGAAATTCGACTTGGTTGAAAATCCGTGAAATTCGACCAGTTTAGCACAAACATCAGACAGCAAAAGGCCACCAGCTAGAGTCTTACCGTGCATTGTCTATAGATGTTCATACAAACGTGTAGGCTGGCATGGTGTGAGAAACAATATCGTTCAGCTGATAGCGAAAAAGTGGTCACGTGACCGCGCACGTAATGAACACTGCAGCGGCAAATTTGGTATCCCACTTACGATTGGGGCATGAAGAGTGTCCGGATCGAAAGTGCGATACCAAATTCGCACTAAAGAAAACAAACAAGCGTTGGCACGACCATGACGACGCACATGCGCACGGGGGTGCCATTATTCGTCAGTTCAGTGCGTGACACCGCGTAGCTACAATTGGCTGAATGAGAACATGTCCCGGACGCTGATATCGGGGCAACTTTCAAATTGTAACTTAGATCCTATAATATTGTTTTCTCGGAATATACAGCATTCACTGAGCTAAAACTTCATCAGGTTAGTTGTTAAGCACCTGTCTTTAGATTTTGAGCACTTGTGTTGCTTCAAACAAAAAAAACTGCACAAATGACAAATGATCTACTCTACCTTTAAATTATCAATCTCCCCAATATTTCGTGCTACAGCATTCGTCACAAATAAATGCTATCAAACGCTGGTTCTGTTGCTACATTCTGTAATAATTTTTTTCTGACCAAATTTCTCTCACCTCAACAGGTCAAGCACCCTTCTGCCCGACGACCCCGCACTGCCACCCAAGAAATATAAAAATGAAACAAGCATCAGATCTCGGATTTGGAAAGAGGTAATTACAATTTTACGATGGCCGTAACTTATTTCCCTGTGAGTCAAAAGTCCTATCTTTTGCAGTACTTTCTTTTTGAGCTTGGGGAGTTCTGTGCTGTCGATGTGCAAAGTTCTGTTTCAGTCTGAACCTTAAGTGTCGAAAAAATTGAAAAACAAAATCAGGCCTACTTTACTCACTCTGTAGCTGATTACATTGTCCAAAAATTGTCATGAGGCAAAGACAAGGTCCTCGGTATTTCACCAACCAAGTTTGAGATCTCAATTCAATTTTTAAAAGGAGACTTTCCTTCAACATTTTGCACCTGAGAGTGAAGCCAAGTGATTTAAATTTGAAGCCTAAGACTAGACTGGTACATGTCCAGCTTTGTGGAAAGTTTGACCCTTTAGTTGTCCGGTGGCAGACTATGGAGACATGTGTAGAAATAGAGACCTGCACCAGATGTTTCTTTTGACACAGTTGATTGGTGCAGTACTGAAGGGGTGTTGGACTGGTTGTTTCAGGTGCCAGTCTATTTTCTTGTTTTGCATGTTTTCAATACCTTAAGTTTTGGGACTCTCATACACAGTATTGAGAGTCCCAAATCTTCGGACGTGTTCTGTTTTAGAAAACCTTACCTCTTCTACATTCTTTAAAATCCTCACGCCAGATTTGAACAATGTAGTAAAGTGCTGGTAGAGTCCATCCGCTGTTACAAATACTTTGATCTTCATGAAAAAAAGGAAACAAATATTGAATTTTATTCAACCCTAACTCACAAGGCATTTTTGCGAGGATGCAACCTCAATCCTGCAAAATCCTCCAACTGTGTCCATGTAAAAATGGCAAACAGCCTCAATCCTGCAAAATCCTCCCTTATTTCTTGAATGTGGTCCTTGGAGGGGTGACCACTGCCTCAATCCTGCAAAATCCTCCGGCAATCACTGTCAGTATGTTGAGGCAGAGCCAGTGAAACCCTGGCGCAGCGCGGAGAATTTCAAGTATAATGTAGGCCTAAATTTATGCACGGCTGAGCATAAACAACACAAGGTCCGGCCCAAGACCTCGACACAGTGCATCAGCCACACACTTTTACCATATAGCCTCAATCCTACAAAATCCTCCGGTTTGCAAAGAGGATTTGGGAAGGGTAGGGTTAACTATTCAAGTCTATCTTTTCTTATTGAAATTCAGTTTGGTGTTCCTGTTTGTGATTGGTCAGTTGATGACATGGATCCTGAGAGTCGACTCACCATTGAGAAAATGCTGCACGAAGAGCGGTATCCTTTACTACTTTGTAAATTACACAACTTTAAATATATTTCAAATGAACCACAAAGGGATACTGGCTAGGTGAATTATAACAATTTTTGCAAAGTTGAACAAAGAAATTGACTGGAGCGGGGTTTGAACCTGCGACCTCCGGATTACCGTTCCGGTGCTCTACCAACTGAGCTATCCAGCCCTATGTTGGCAGTTCCAACAAAGATATTAACAATTTGGGGAACCACCAATATAGGGCTGGATAGCTCAGTTGGTAGAGCACTGGAACAGCACTCTGGAGGTCGCAGGTTCAAACCCCGCCCCAATCCATTTCTCAACCACAACAAAATTAAATATGTTTTAAATCATCTCCCAGGTTATTTAATATTTATGCAATCAAAACTTGAACATGCAGATAGTTAGACAAAGACAAGTAAGATTAATCGATGAATATTGTTCATGTCGTTGTGCATATTTAGTGTAACCTGTGTTTCTAGCATACTTAGTTTCACTTACTACTTTAAAAAAAACAATTGTCATTATCAGTGGTATTGATTTATCAATCCCTTAATGTTATTCTTCAGTCGATATCTCAGAACCAGTAATGGACCTGTCACAAGAAGGTAAGAATTTTAATTTTTTTCTGTTTTATTTTCTATTTTTTATTAATTGACTTGTGCTTATCTACTTGAAAATTAATGCATTTCAAGATTACATGGCATTGTGATATAATAAAAGTATTGATTAAATGACTTTGATATTTGTGTTGTTGTTTATTGTTCAGACCAAAGAAGAAACCCTCCCCGTATTTACGATGGACTCCCCAAGAGAGACAACAGTTCGAGCAGGGATTTGTGAGTAAACTGAACTATCAGTATAAACACCACCTGTTATTAACGCCACCACCAATCAAAACGTTTGTCAAGAACCTTCCCTTAACCCTAATGCAAACATACATTTTGCACAAAGTTGTCCTTTCAGTCAAAAATCAATCAAGTGACTGTTTTCAACAGTTGAGAGCTCCCAGCGTGCATAAAGCAGGATTGACTGGCTGTGACTGTTTATGTAACTTGATATAGCTATTCTTAAACTGTAGGTGATTGATACGCCAGCTGTGTTTAACACTTGTTAGCCTTTGCCTGTTGACTGAATTTGACTAGTCGCAGTGCTTGCTTGAAATGTGCAGTCCTTCTGATTTGAGGCGTGCGATCGCATCCCCACGCCATCATACGCCTAAAAGCTTCCCGAGAAGTGCGAATAATCGCACATCAGAATCCCTCTGTACCGCACACCTTGGCATACATTTGCGTCATAATTATACTTCTGTGGGCTCTTGAAATGGCTTTACTGTAAACCAAGATAATTATTATAAAAAAAAAAATATGAGATTGTTCAGTCCCAGTTTGGACCACAGAATCACAAGCCTTGAAAAATCACACGTCTAGAAAAATCACATGCCTGGAAAAAATCACACGTCTAGAAAAAATCACATGCCTGGAAAAAATCACACGCCTGGGAAAAATCACACGCCTAGAAAAATCACATGCCTAGAAAAATCACACGCCTAGAAAAAATCACACGCCTAGAAAATCACATGCCTAGAAAAATCACACGCCTAGAAAAATCACACGCCTAGAAAAATCACACGCCTAGAAAAATCACACGCCTAGAAAATCACATGCCTGGAAAATCACACGCCTGTTATTAACGCCACCACCAATCAAAACGTTTGTCAAGAACCTTCCCTTAACCCTAATGCAAACATACATTTTGCACAAAGTTGTCCTTTCAGTCAAAAATCAATCAAGTGACTGTTTTCAACAGTTAAGAGCTCCAGCCTACATAAAGCAGGATTGACTGGCTGTGACTGTTTATGTAACTTGATATAGCTATGCTTTGACTGTAGGTGATTGATACGCCAGCTGTGTCTAACACTTGTTAGCCTTTGCCTGTTGACTGAATTTGACTAGTCGCAGTGCTTGCTTGAAATATGCAGTCCTTCTGATTTGAGGCGTGCGATCGCATCCCCACGCCATCATACGCCTAAAAGCTTCCCGAGAAGTGCGAATAATCACACGCCTGAATCCCTCTGTACTGCACACCTCGGCATACACGTACGGCATAATTATACTTCTGTGAGCTCTTGAAATGGCTTTACTATAAACCAAGATGAATGTTATACAAAAATACCAGATTGTTAAGTCCCAGTTTGGACCATAGAATCACAAGCCTAGAAAAATCACATGCCTGGAAAAATCACACGCCTGGGAAAAATCACACGCCTAGAAAAAATCACATGCCTAGAAAAAATCACACGCCTAGAAAAATCACACGCCTAGAAAAATCACACGCCTAGAAAAATCACACGCCTAGAAAAATCACACGCCTAGAAAAATCACACGCCTAGAAAAATCCAGGTGTGCTTTTTTCCACACGCCTGTGATTTTCAAATTAGAGGGACTGCATGGGATATGACTGTTGGTGACTAGCCTATGTAGAATGCATTGCAGGGTGAGGATCGATTTTGTTGACTGTCTGTGACTGTTCAAACAGCAGGAGGTTAATCCCCAAAATCACATGTACGCACAAGGCCACTCCGACCTATTTATAACTGTATTTGTGTCTGTATTATACAGGGTGAGTCAAAAAACCCGAAACCCAAATGTCGGGACCATTGTTTTAGTGAAGTTCTGCTTATAGCACGTTCAAAATCTAGGATATGAAAGCCCAATTCATAAGCTTTCTTTTAGTACAAGAATCATTCAAGTAACTCATGTACTTTTCAAGTTACGGAATTTTAAACCCAACCACTGTTTTAAAGTTCTGTCCACGGATCACAAAAAGTATTAAGTGTTCTTTCAGCAAAACGAAAACAAATCACATAGGGATGTGTGTGAATTGTTTTTGTTTTGCTGAAAAAACACACACTTTTTTTGTGATCCGAGGGCAGAACTTGAAAACCACGGTTGGGTTTAAAATTCCGTAACTTGAAAAATACATGAGTGATTTGAATGATTCTAGTACTAAAAGAAAGCTTATGAATTGGGCTTTCATATCCTACATTGTGAAAGTGGTACCAGCAGAACTGCAGTAAAACAATAGCCCCGACATTTGGGTTTGGTTTTTTTTTTACTCACCCAGTATTCGTTATTTGATGTAGATGAGCTACGGCAATCGATGGACACAGATAGCCAGACTGATCCCCACAAGGAGTCCCCTGCAGGTCAAGAATTACGCCAGATACTACTTCCCAGCAAAGGTGAGCGGCCTCCTCTTCACAAGATTTCACCCTAAATTTCAAGTTTCACCTCAAAATCTACTCAGAGGTCTTGGGATGATTCTGCAAGCTAAGGAAGTTAGTATCGCTGGTACTTGTGGGGGAGTTTGGCCTAGTGGTTGGGGTTAGTGGCTCATGAAGGTCAGGGGTTCGAATCCAGCTGCTGGCCATATGTTGTGTCCTTGGGCAAGCCACTTCATCCCCACTTGCCTCTCTCTACCCAGGACGCAGCTTTTTTTTTCTTTTCTTTTTTTACCATTTTTTTCTTTAAATGTCGGCTGATGACTGCAAATGGTGCCCGACTAAATTTAGTGCAAATATATGGGAGTCCAGAGAGGCCACATAAAGCTTATACTCGATCATAACCTCATCTAAAAACACGTGAAAATTGTGCAGCAGCAGGATTCTAGTCAAACCAGTGAGTTTGGCAGTTTTGAGACGTCATCTTTCATTGAAAAAAAAACTTTTTAATTTTGCAGACGCGCATGGCTACGGCGACACGCGCGCATACCAGAAACCAGTGGCTTTTTTATTTTGGCCTACTTGAGTAAACAGCACTCCATTCGTTTAAAAGATGGCACATCGGTCATAGCTGATATCTTTGTCTCCCTAGTTCAAGATCCTTGTTGTGAAAGCTAGCAGTCGACCTCCTGACCAAGGTAACGCCAGGTTTTTCTTTTACTTTGTCTCCACTACCACAGTTACAGTCGGCATCTGACGAAAGTCTTGATGACGACACCGACCAAGACGGGGTAAACCAAGATGTCTTCCATCCGCACCTCCCCGAGTCTCTGAACACAGGGTCGCCGACCATCGCGACCAGGCCGGTTGCTCCGACGGCGCGGGGCATTGCCACTCCTTCCAAACGCCGGCACTTTCAGAAGTTCGGCTTTGCCAATCTCAGCCCGTCCCGCGTACTGAAATCGCGCTCCGGGAAAGACGCGCTGGCCTCCATGAAGAGGATTGCCGATGGGAGGTCGGCGAAGAAATTAACGACAACACTAGAGGGCGGTGCAGCAAGACCCACACGCAAGATGCGGAGAGGTGACCGAGGCAGAGCTCGCCGAGCAGGAGTCAAAACAAAAGATGAGAGAGTGTCGGGATTGGTGGGGTATCAACGAGATGGGTCCAGGGATGCGGCAGGAGGCAGCAGTGTGGACCTCTTTGAGCAAGGAGGAGGGGTGGTACGGATGAGACCAGAGAGTTCTGAGGATGAAGACGTGGATGTTGAAGAGGATGTGGTGGGAGACGGAGACAATCATCAGGAGAACTTGTTAATGGGTGAGAAATAATCTCGAAAACCAGTGTTGTAGTTGAGTCAATCACACTTCCATCACAAGTCCATCACAAGTCCAGTCACAAGTCCAGTCACAAGTGCAGTCACAAGTCCAGTCACAAACCCAGTCACAAGTCCATCACAAGCCCATCACAAGTCCATCACAAGTCCATCACAAGTCCATCACAAGTCCCTCACAAGTCCCTCACAAGTCCGTCACAAGTCCCTCACAAGTCCATCACAAATCCATCACAAGTCCATCACAAGTCCATCACAAGTCCAGTCACAAGTCCAGTCACAAGTAACAGTGGATGAACACTACCCAAGGAATGCCTTTATGACATCTCAGTCGAATAGCTTGTGAGTTGAATCGGGACTGGAGGACTTGTGATGGACTTGTGATGGACTTGTGATGGACTTGCAGGGACATGGCTACAACCCTGCTCGAAGCAAATAATTCGTAGTGCAGCTAAGCTAACTATGAAAAGAATTCCGCTTTACCGAGAGTTCATCATGTGAAAAATCAACATCTGTCTGCAGATATCAAATTAGGTGGCCATTTTTTTTTTATGTTCATCAGTCTTCCCAAGTGAACTTGAGTCCTCTATCCCGATTGGCCGATCCATGGCAACAACAGTGTGGTACTATCCCGTATACCACTGACCACATCGCACTCTGCATGTCGCGCTATTCTAAGATGCGAGCGCCTGCCTGCCGCACGCGTGTGGGAAAGAATGTTGCATCCCGACAATAATTTTTTTCCTCATATCATTTCAATAAAGGCCAGTCATTGCAACAACAAAAAACCAGACAAGCATCCGGGACTGAGAAACATTTCCAATTTTGTTAGGAAATACTTCTTAAAAATGTTCTTGAATCTCCATAGACTCTGTACACAACCGCTGAAATGGCGTCTGGATACTACATTCTTGTGGAGATTTGCATATTTGCATATTAGTTCCATGGAGTTCAAATTGCACAACTGAGAAAACAGGCTTTAAAATAGCTGGCTCGGTTGTAGATTTGGGCATGAAAAGCTCACTTTTAATATCTTATTAACCAACATGTTCCTGTTTTACTATCACTTCTAAACTTTGGATATTGATTCTACAATGATTATTTTCAATGATTTTTGGGAAAAAGAGACTTTTTGAAACCAGATTACTATATTTTGGCTAATTTGCATATTGATTAAAATGATAGTTTTTAAATGTAAAATAAAGAGAACAATGCATACAAAATAAGGTAATTTTTTCCCCGTTTTTAATCGAAATCAACTTTTCTGTGAATGAATCCTTAAACTTTAGGTATCAAAGATGTCATTTAAGACAAAAAACGAAAATCAAATTTTGATGAAAAATTTCACCCTCTCAACATTCAGCAGGCCATTACACGTAAAGGCATAGCGCGACTTATATCACCTTTTCCTGGAGCGGGTCACACATTTTCCATTCTTTGACACATTTCATTTTTGCTTGTCTTCATTCAGGTCTTGCCGACGCCTGCGATCGCATATACAACAATCTCATCACGCCCTCCGGCAATTATGCCCCGCCCACTGCCACCAACCCTGACAAGAGAGCGAGACGCACTGGCGCGAGGCCAAAATCAAAGGTCGGTCCTGACATCCCCGGCAGGTCAAAGGTCAGGGGTCACAAGGTCATCATGGAATCCCTCAGCATCCCAGAGCTGCCCTGGAACGCAGACCACACCTACAGCATGTCGCTCAGGACCCTTCACAAGCTGGGCATTCTGAGAGGGGTTTTTAAACCCGCGCAGGACCGCGCCGAAAGGGGCTCAGGATCGCAAGGCAGAAGAGACACGGCACAGTGCTTTAACGTTGTCTCGGAGAGCAAAGTGGTGGCATTAAGGAGAGGCGATACGGAGGATTTTATCGGGGATGAGGAAGCATTCTCACCAAAATCAGAGCGAGGAGATTCCATAGATGATCTTCCTCGAGACGGGGAAATGTCGTTAGAATTCAAAACAGAGCCTGAGGAGGATGACAGCGATGTGGTTTGGAATATTGAGCCGACCGAGTGTCACGTGAAGGACGAACCCTGTCACGTGGATGACGCTACGTGTCACGTGAAGGACGAACCGCGTCACACGGAAGACGAATCATGTCACGTGGCCGATGAACCTTGTCACGTGACGGATGAACCTTGTCACGTGAGTGACACTATGTGTCACGTGAAGGACGAACCGTGTCACATGAAGGATGAACTGTGTCACATGACGGACAAGCTATGTCGTGTGGTGGATGAACGGTGTCACGTGAAGGACGACCCATGTCTCGTAAAGGACAGATTGTGTCACACGAGCGAGGAAATTTGTCACGTGAAGGAGGAACCGTGTGACGAAGCTTGCAGCTCGAGTGACTTCGATCAGGACGATACATACCTGCTGGTGGATATGTGTCAGCCCGTTGAACCCTTCCCATCAAAGGGTCCAGACACTGAAACACCCCTATTTGAAAATCCAGAGGTCCAGCCCGCAGATTCACCAGTGCATCATCCCGGCACAGGATCCTACCAAGAGCAGGAGCTGGAGGGGTTCGTGACCTCTGAGGAGAGTACAAGTGCCCCTCGGCTGGTAACTGCACCAGCACCCCTTGAAAAAAATACAGGGAGCCCAGAGACAGAGGTGGGGAGTGACTGTGAAACTGGTGGGTCGAACCAAGAGGATGAAAATAGGGGTGACATGACATCTAATGCCATGGAGGGGGAAGCAGACAGCAACAGTGGAGGAGACAATGAGCAAACAGCTGGTGAATAGTATTAAATTTTGTTTTTCTTTTAACCCAAACCCTCGGGTATTTTTACTAGAAAGTATCCTGAATCCACCAAAATCCATCAATTTTGCCATGCAAAAAAAATGATAGTGGCCAGTGAGTCCATCAGAATCCGTCAGTTAGCCGGGAGTAAATCTGTTGACATCCTGAATCCATCAAAGTCCCCCAACTGCTCATTATGGAGGTATCCTGAATCCATCAAATTCCTGCAGTACCGCTAGGCTTCATGTCTTGAATCCATCAAAATCCTCCAACTTTTTCAATATGGAGGTATCCTGATTCCGCCGAAATCCTCCAAAACACGGGTGTGGATTTTGATGGATCCAGGTATGTTAGGGTTAAATGCATTTTTGTGTCGCCTAAACAAAGTTTTGGGAGACACTAACAGGTCATAAATTTTGTACGACCGTCCGACCCATTTATGACAGTGTGACCATTGACCCAGATGTTAAAGTTTTTGGAATTGCTCTCATTTCCTGCATTGGACCCAAGGGTCGTTGGTCAAGAAGAATACAAAATGAAAAGGGAGGTAACTCGAGGTTTACCACAAGGTTTTAAAGCCAGAGTCCATCATTTGCAGCTATCCAAAAAGTAACTGGCGTAATTATTGTTGAAAAACATACTTGGTTGAAAGATAGTAAGGGGACTTTACTCCCTGTGAAATCATTCTTTCTGGCAAGCTGTCGTTTTGAAGAAATCAACAAAAGGAGGCCTTTCCAACATGCTTCTTAAGAAGCACCGTAGGAAGCACCGTAGGAAATTCAAATAAGTAGTTCGTTTTGTTATTCGGCGAAGCGCGCACAAGCATTGGCACAATGCACACGCGCGCGCGGTTGCTACAATTCGTCAGATCAGTGCGCGACATCGCGTAGCTGCAATCGGCTCAGTGAGAACGTGTCTCAGACGCTGAATTCAGGCCCAATTCAAAACATGATTCAGCAACTTTTGATTTGAAATCGAGATCCTAGAATGTTGTTTTTCTCGAAATGTACAGCTAAAGCTGAGCTGAAACTTCATCAGGTTAGTTGTTCAGCACCCTTCTTTAGATCTTGAACACTTTTGTTGCTTCAAACGCACAAAATGCACAAATTACAAATGATGGACTATACCTTTAAGGCCAGTTCATACTTGGTACGTGAATGACCGCAACCAAGAATTTGTGACGTCAGGGCAAGTTTCTGTGCTGTAAATTCACAAAAGTTGAACACAGTTCAACACCGGTGAATTTTGCAGGGAATGCTTTGTGTCATCAAATTCGCATCACATTCATGTTTAGCTGGCTTTCATAGGGTGCCTCAGAGTTCAACCTCGGAGTACCACATGTTGAATTTTGCATTCTCCCCTTTGTTTCTTACCTTTCGTGAAATGATCATTGTTACTCGTCATTTCAGGGCTATTGGGAGAGTACCTTCTCGACCTTGAGGAAATCGAGGACTGGGAGAAGAAAGCCCTGCCCGAGTTCTTCAAGGGTCGACCCACCAAGACCCCGGAACGCTACCTCAAGATCAGAAACTACATTCACCAACAATGGTGTGTGACACTCGTTCTCTCTTCATCTCACGCTCCAAACTAAATTCTGCAGTGTTTACTTTGTATGAACAGCTTCCTTTCAATCCACATTTTCTTCCTTGAACCCTAACCCCCTAGGCCCTCTGGCTAGGATGCAACCTCAATCCTGCAAAATCCTCTAATTGCCACCTAGAAAAAATTTGATTCAGCCTCATCATCCAAAATCATCCCTTATTTCTTGAATTTAGTCTGTGGAGGGTGACCACTGCCTCAATCCTCCAAAATCCTTTGCCAATTACTGCTATGGTTTGAGGCAGTGCGAATGGCGTTGAGAAGCAGTGCGGATGAAATACGAGAAAAAAACAGCGCTGGTTTATGCATGGCTGAACATAACCAATGCAGGATATGGCCTACTGGCTTGACTAATGCATCCTCCACAAAAAAGTGATACATCTTTGCCATTCATCCTCAATCCTCTAAAAACATCCAAAACCGGCAGGGGGATTTTGGAGGACTGAGGAGGGTTAGGGTTAACCCTAACTCCCTAGGCTCTCTTGCCGAGAGGCAGGCCGAATCCTCCCATGATCTTTGCAACAATGGTGACGCTGATTTTCTGGTATCCAAATATAGGCCTGGTCGTGAATTTGTTTTTTTGCAGCATACATCGTATTTTTGAACCAATCACATCATGCACCCTAACATGAATGTTTATCACGCTGTGTGGATGGAAGACACTTAGGTTCTCGTAGTGTTTTCCCTTCAATTAAACTTATCCCAACCAACAAAAATATTTGATGAAAATAGACATGGGTTCGAACCACGGATCTTGCGATCCATAGCTCATTCCACTATCCACTAGGCCACTGTGGCAGCTCGACGAAAGCCGCTCTTTGAAATGCTTTAATGTACATGCATGACTGAGTGATAGCAATGGTGTGATTTCATTGTTATTCTCATATGAGTAAACATCGAACTAGCTGGATAATCATGATCCATTGACGATATGTGCTGCAGATAAAAACACTGCGGCCGGGTCATGAGAGAGCCCTATTCACGTTTCTGGACAATTTTTTTTTTTACCAATTTCATCCTCTGCCATTCTGAAGTTCTAAAGTTGTATTTTGGAGAACAGTTGTCCATTTCTAAAAAGATGTTACTTGGTTATTTTTTGGGTAGGTTACAAATCAAGCCGAAATATTTGAACAAAGCCGCGGTCCGCCAGGGGCTCAAAAGCTGTGGGGATGTGAACTGCATCGGACGGATCCATCACAGCCTGGAGAAAGCTGGCGCCATCAACTACGGAGTGGGTAAGTAACAAGAACTGTACATTTTGCGACTTGAAGCTTTGCACGCAAAGTACGTGAGTGATAGCGATTCGATGTGATAATGTCCTCTCCCAGCAGCTTTTTGGGTATCTAATATACAACATGGTACAGGGAATATCAGGTAGGGCAGTTAAAATTGGTACAAAAACAGTATTAAGTTTCTCTGTTCTGTGCTAATAAATGATAAATATATGAATAATAATGATAATAATAATACCGGAGTCTTATATAGCGCACGTATCTACCAACAATTAGGTACGCAAGGCGCTGGTAATTCGGGCGATTCACAATGCAGTGCGCCACCAAGAGTTTGCCATGGAAAGTCCATTTTCCAGCTTTACGGTCGACAAAACATGGCCCATTTGAGTGAGTGTCAATAGACAACTTGAGCTGATATGTCATAGATTGGGGCATAGCGTTCTGCCGCCTTACAAAAAACACCATATTGATACAAAGAATAAAAAAGAGCAAACAGATCCTCAAATCATACCCTTACGAAACTACTGACCGGAAAAACTTTTCAAATGTCCCGCGCTGCGAATTTGTCGACTATCTCCCACGATGCATTGGGAAAATTAACTCTCGGTGGCAAACTCTTGGTGGCGCACTCTATTGTGAATCGCCCGAATTATGTCTATTTTTAAAGACAGGAAAATGAAGGTTATGAGAAATATGAGACCCATTATGTAGCCCCTTTATAAGGTTTTACAAGGGGCTGCGGTGCATTTTGCAGCCACTGCCAGAAACACCGGGGAAAACCCCTTCTCTTAGCGATAAGTGTTACTGGGTTCTTTAACGTGCATTACACAACACACGGGACCTACGGCTTTACGTCCCATCCGAAGGACGAAGCAGTAATGGTAAAGTGCCTTGCTCAAGAGCACAAGCACCATATTCAAACCAACGTACCACGGCACACGAGTCGAACACCGTAACCATTAGACCACGGCACCCTGCAAATATATCATTATTATTTACATTAGGATTTCTTTTTGGTAGAGAGGAGACAATGAGAAAGAAATTACAATTTTAGAGGTGGGAGGAAAACCCCAGAAGAATATTCTGGGGAAAACCCATGGAATCAGGCAGGGACCGAAAACCCAATCCACATATTGGCCCAGGCGGGATTCGAACCCGGGTCACAGCGGTGGAAGGCAAGAAAAGTAACCACTGCGACAACCTGACTCCCTAACTATTCTTGCAGACAAGTCAATTAAACTTACGTTTTCAGAAAGTGAACATTTTTTTTTTTTTTGTGTGTGTTTTTGGGTGTGTGTGTGTGTGTTCCTGCATGGCATTACGCCTGAGGACAGACAACAAAAGGAGCACAAAGGGGCCATTGATCCTCGAAGGAAGGTGCCTATTGTCCTTGAACGCAGGTTTGTGTGCTTAGTCTATGGGAGAGTGTTATATTACAGGGACAAAGGAAAACACAAAGCCAATCCTCGGAAGCATAGCAAAAAACGACTGGGTGTGTGTGTGTGTGTGATGCGATGGGCCTAATGGAGTCGTTTGTCAACCCTGGTCAAAATTTTTTTTAATACAGATTTGAAAAGAGCACAATCTCAGCAGTACTGGTGTGAAAACTGCATGCTGATACCATCTTTAGTTCAAAAATTATGGAAGTCGGAACACCAAGAGATGCAATGAAGTGATGTGATGAAGTGGCCCTATTTTGGCCTGAATCTCCAAATGAAAAGTCCCGACAAACGACTCATTTAGCTTGATCGCATCACATATGTTTCATAGGCCACCCACTATTACTTTTCTGACCACTCGTTCTATCTTTGGTCTGTCCATGTAGCCAACCCCCACCGGTCGATCATTGACTGTCGAGTCAACGCTCTGCGTCAACGCATGGCCACCAAGACTAGCGACCAGAGGGCTTCCAGAGAATCCAAGGTAACCATTTCTCAAAACTTAAAAAAAACAAAACAGAAAGTCTTGTCATTTTTTTGTTTAATTTTGTTGGGGACGGCCGTGAGGTTTTAGTCTATTTTCATTAATTTAGGGGCCGTTCACAATTATCAACATTTTCACAGTGTACAAAGAGTACACTTTTTCAAGACCCTCCCCCCTAAAAGTGTACGAAAAAAATGTTGATTTTTTTTTTCACACAAGTCTATATATAGACACTTGCATGTGATTTAAAGTCTTTTTGTAACTTTTGTAGATCAAGTTTTTGTACTATACATGTACATGTACATACAGTACATTTACAGTACATTTTCATGTACGTGTGTAGGACAATGCCGCACATGCTGTACACAATACGTTCATGGGATGCAATGCGGGGCCTGGCGCGGGGCGCGACCGGCTCGGCAAGTGCTCGATCGGCATCGGTTGCGGCTGTCGGTTGTGGCGACGGGCGAGAAAACAGATCGACATTTAAAAAAAAAAAAAAAGCGTACAGTGGCCATTAACCCCCTCCCCCCCCCAGCGTACGGTTTGTACGCTCGTGAAAATGTTGATAATTGTGAACGGCCCCTTAGTCAAAGGGGCGACCAGCTGCTTTTAGGGATATCCACCTCTGGAAAATTCCAGCATTATGGAAGAAGTTCGATGTCTGTGACAGAGCCAATTAACCCTAACCCCTAGGCTCTTTTGGCTTGGAACCATCCTCAATCCTGCAAAATCCTCCAATTGCCACCATGTGAAAAATTGGATTCAGCCTCAATCCTCCAAAATCATCCGTTAGTTCTTGAATTTGTTCAGCGGAGGGATGACCATTGCCTCAATCCTTCAAAATCCTCCAACAATCGCTGTTAATAGGTTGAGGTAGTGCCGATGACATTCAGAAGCAGTGCGGATGATATCAAGCATAATGCAGGGCTCAATTATGCATGACTGAACATAAACAATGCTGGATACAGCCTACTAACTCGAAACAATGCATCCTCCAAATCAACCGACACTTTTTTTGCTATTCAGCCTCAATCCTCCAAAATACTCCGAAATCCTCCAAAAGCACCCGGAGGATTTTGGAAGATTGAGGAAGGTTCGGGTTAAACCATGATACCTTAAAGATTCAGACATTTGATCCAAAACTCCTAGTCTTGACCATTACTAGATGATAGATGTAGAAGATTTGAAAAAAAAATTGGGTTTATTCATGCAGCTCTTAAAAAGCTACATCATTAAACATTTCATAATGCTCAAATTTATTTTTTAAAATTTTAACCAAAATTTTAGATGGTAGCTATTAAGTTGAAATTGAAGTCTAATACAACGGCGTAAATATGGTCAGACTTCTAGGTAATACTTGCGGGTACGGGGTGGTTGAGGCATATGTGAGACTTGTCAGTGTTTTTCCTGATTTCAGGATAATTTGTCAGCATTTTTCCTGAAATCAGGATTTTTGTGGTCGGTATAAACGAAAATCTTCCTTTTTTGCGTCAGTGTCTGATGTACGCGCGAACTACCAGGTGTCAGTTCGTGAAACCGAAATTGTTGATTACGTGGTTTTTACGAACTGACACCCACTTCCGCGTGAGTGTCAGTTCGTGGTGCCGATGAAGATGTGTAGGAACACCCAAGAGGGCACGGACATCCAGTGGGGACGCATTTGCCCCCCCCCCCCCCCCCCCCCGCATTATGTTGCTCCTCCCATTTTGTACCACGGTGTTTCCATTATTGGTACCTTGCAGAGACCACGTAAGAAAAAGAATTTGCATCCAGAGTCTGAAATCAGCCAGAAATCAGACGAGAAGCTGCCTCAAAGGAAGAGCGTCAGGTGGGTTGCCTTTCCAATTAGTAGGCTCAAAATGACATTGATAACGGACCGTGAAATAGTATTTGAATAAACATTATTGGATTATTGTAAGATAATTTGCGATTACGGGATGGCGGGAAGTTTATTAGCATGTTTTAAAAAGAAACTAACCTGTTTAGAGCATTTAAAAGTAAGATATAAACATCCACACAACCATCCTTTAAAAACTGTGCGTTTTTGTGTTAGGCCAAAAAAAAAAATAAGTCGGTCTCTGATCAGCGCGCGCGTCGATTTTAATCATGCGCGTCGATCTTTTTTTTCCCAAAATGTTCCGCGGTAGCGCCCTCTATTTCCGCACCTCCTCAATTTGTTTTACCAAAGAGCACCAAGGAATGGGAAATTGCACCAAGGCAAATGATCGAAAGCACCAAGGCAAATTATGGAGGACATCAATGTACATTAGGACACCAAAAAAGCAATATAGTACCCCACCTTGTCTGTACAATCCAAGCTTGAAGAAGAAAAAAAAAAAAGCCAAAAAAAAAAAAAGCCGCGTCGCCACGTCAATTCCGGAACTTTGGTCTGACCAGAGACCGAATATTTTTTTTTTTTGGCCTTATTCATGCGAGAACCATGTGAGAACAAATTTCGGGGGTCAAAATTTTGACTACGAAAAAATCGAGCTGTTGAGTGCTGGTTGTGAATCCTGCCGCACAGTGGTTCGCATTCTGCGGACATGCGAGAAACAGTAACTAACAAAGAAACAAACTATTGTGTATTTTTCTTTGAAATGACAATATGAACTATTATTCTTAAAGGGAATGTACATCATTTGCTTTTGCTGTAATTTTCAGAAATGGATGGAATTGGGGGGTTGGAAATATATAGCAAATATAGTTACACTGACTTTTTTGAGGTTTTGGGTTCGAAAATGCTATAAAAACCAAGAAAAACAATCATTTTCCTGTAGTCTGGTTCCCTGACTTCATATAAGAAGAAACAGAGCAGTTTACATACATTGGGGAATTGTAAGGTCAGGGAACCAGTCTAGCTGGCTTGTACCCGTTCATAGGTGTGTAATCGATTGCAAACAAGTGCGATGGTCAATTGGGGCCAGTATTTGAAAAAAAAACAGTTGTTTCCAACGCTGGTCGGCTGACCAGCGTTGGAAATTGATACAAAAATACCACTTTTCTTGAAAATGACAGTATACCAGGTGCCATGATTTTACAGGATGCTTTACACTGTCATTCACTAACAGTCCAGCAAGGTATTTCAAAATGATTTGGTAGTTTTATTTTTTGATGTTTGCAAATGTTGTATTTTCCCTTTAACAGAGGCAGTATCGAATTGGTGAAATTACACATTTTTATTTTTTGTCTGCTACCACTGACTTTCCACTCATCTGTCTTGGTTTCAGGTCCGGACCCCGGAAGACCAAAGCTGTTCCATATGATCCCTTTAAGCTGATTGAATGCTGCAGGTTTACTGAAGAGAAAGAGGTAACTTTGAAAAACCATATCAGCTTGACCACCCGTAGTATCTCTTCAGTGGCACACCCATGATTTGGCTTGGGGGGGGGGGGCTCACAATTTCTTTTCAAATTTTTTAGAGAAGTTGAAATTTTTTTACTTAAAATTTTTGGCCGCAGAATTTTTTTTGGGGGGGAGGGGGGGGGGGGGGGGGGACTTTTTGATATTGGTGGCACCACTTACACCCCTATTATACTACTTGAAAATAGGCCACATACATATCACCAAGGGCAAATCGTGGGAATAAAAAAAATTTACAAAAAAAAAAATTGGATGCACCACTGTACCTCTTCCCATATGTGACCTGTTCTGTCAAAAGCAGACGCTTCTGGGCAGAGGTTGAAATTGAGATAGGGCAAAAAAACGCTGTGGGGGTGATTTTTTTTTGGTTTTTCTAATTTTTGCATATTTGTAATCATGAACATGTCTAAAATATACAATAAAAGTTTGAAACCCTAATTTGAACACTAAAAATAGTATTTTTGATGATTTGTTAAGGTATATCAGTTACAGAAATGTCACTTGAAACAGGTCTTAAAATAGACCCCAAACTTTAGCTGCTATTTTCTCCGTTTTCTACTTTTCAACACGATGAACTTCAAAATAGCTTAACTTTGCCCAGGAATGACCGGTTTCAAAAATTAAACCACCTATTAAAAGAAAAATGTACATATTTAACAATGTTCAAAAATCTCGTTTTTACCGTATGCCCAGAAAAGTCTGATTTTGACAGAACAGGTCACATATTCCATCTAATGGCATTGCACATCTCCAAAATTATTTGGTTCACAACTGGCTTGAGCACTCGCTTTTGGCTCTGTCTTCAAGAAACTGCCAATCCAACTGTTTTACTTTCATTTGATTATTTCCCCATTTTTTTGGCCTTGTTCCTGTTTCCACAGGCTCCATTCCATGTCAGGATCCAGTCTGATGCTATGATCATTATGGATGTGGTAAGTCTATGAAAAAAACAACATTTTTAAGATATTGCCTTCTTGAGACAACTGTCTGTGTGGATAGATTTCTGGGGATTTATTTGTATTGATTTCAATGGTTCATGCTGGAAATTTTTCGGCAAAACACATTTTCTGCAACTGTACTCCCCTTAAATGTATGAAAAATATTTCACATCCCTCTTTGGTTAATTTTATTGAAAAGTCTTCTGCTTTAAACATTTCAAATTGTCCATGCTTTTCCGGACAAATGAGGGCACTGTTTCTGTGATGTCATTTCAGGAAGACACTGTTCAGTTTCGGGATTTTCTGTTCAAAATTGTGAACCCCAAAATTTCCTTATTGAAAACTTTTGTGAAAAAAGTTGGCTCATTGGCTTGCTGCCATGTACTGACACAACAAAAAATCACCAAAGAAAAGACAATTGACAACAGCCAAATATCCAAAATTCTGGCAACTTTTGGCGCTGAAATAAGTGTAACTTTGAGGTTTATGCCTGAAATGACATCACACTTGTGTCATGGATTTGGAAATTGACATTAGCGTAAAAACCAGAAAGGCACCAAAATACCTTTGAAAAAATCATTCAACGAAAATTGAAAATAGGGGTTAAATGGGACACAAAGGTGCATTTCCAAGGATTGCATAAAAAAATTATGTTGCAAAGGCCCTTTAAAACAAAAATTAATTTGGCTCTCTTGTGTACTGGTTTGATAAGTTCAAACTAAAGTAGCCATTTTTGTTGTTGTTCACAGCACTCTCACATGTCATCCACTGAGGTGATCGGTCTGCTAGGAGGCAAGTTTTGCAAGGAAGACAACATGTTGGATGTACTGCTTGCCGTTCCTTGTAACAGCATCAGTACGGGCATGCAGTGTGAGATGGATCCAGGTATGTAACGAGACACTTCACAGTCCTACGCCCAGAGTTGTAATCAAGTTGTTATTAGTCACAAGACATCATAAGTGATTATTAGTCAATCACAAGTCCATAAGGCATCCGTCTGGAGTTGTTATCAAGCTGTTTTTAGTCACAAGACATTCTAAGTGATTATAAGTCAATCACAAGTTATCACAGGTTATCACGAGTCATTGTAAGTCATCACAAGTCAATCATACGTCAATCACAAGCCATCACAAGTCAATCACAAGCCATCACAAGTCAATCACAAGTCATCACAAGTCAATCAAGTCAATCACAAGTCAATCACAAGTCATCACAAGTCATCACAAGCCATCACAAGCCATCACAAGTCAATCACAAGTCTCACAAGTCAATCACAACTCATCACAAGTCAATCACAAGTCATCACAAGTCAATCAAGTCAATCACAAGTCAATCACAAGTCATCACAAGTCAATCACAATTCAATCACAAGTCAATCACAAGTCATTACAAGTCAATCACAAGTCATTTCAAGTCATTACAAGTCAATCATAAGTCATCACAAGTCAATCATAAGTCATCACAAGTCATCACAAGTCAATCACAGGTCATCACAAGTCATCACAAGTCAATCACAAGTCAGTCACAAGTCATCACAAGTCAATCACAAGTCAGTCACAAGCCATCACAAGTCAATCACAAGTCATCACAACTCAAATCACAACTCAATCACAAGTCATCACAAGTCAATCACAAATCAATCACAAGTCAATCACAAGTCATCACAAGTCAATCATAAGTCATTTTAGTTTGTGACAGAGTTTACTTTTACGTACTGTTCGCCGCAGTGTCCCAGACGGAGGCCTATGAGTCCATCCTAGCCAAGGATTACCAGGTTGTTGGCTGGTATCACAGCCACCCAGCCTTCGCTGCCAACCCGTCCGTCCGAGACATAGAGACGCAGTCAGGATTTCAGGTTTGTCACTCCATCAGTCCCTCTGTTTGTTTGTCCTCATCCCTTGCTCGTTGAGTGTTACCTTTTAGCTATTTAGCTGATGTGCCAATAGACGAATAGCGGCATCCTCTTAAAAAAACAGCTTTCATTTTTGCGCACAAATGAAAACTGCTCTACGAGAGCCGAATTATTGTCTGTCAGCCAATAATTCAAATTTGTGAAGACATCAATAACTAAGCATTGGTGGAATTTTTTTGTGTGGCGTCTCATTCAGAAATGAATAATTGTAACATATTGCTAGGAAAATTACAATTGAAAAAAATTAATCAATTTTTTCGAGGGGAAACTCGAAATTAACACAGATTATTTGCAGCTATCCAAAAAAATACTTAACAAAATTATTGTTGAAAAGCTAACTTGGTTTAAAGATGGGGATGGCAATAATCTCCCTGTGAAATTATTCTTTCTGGCATGCTGTCATTTTAAAGAAAACACTCAAACTAAGAAGGCAATTTCCAAAGATGGGTCAAAGACACATTTTTGGAAATTTCTGTCAGTAGTGGCTTTGTAATTCGGCAAAACCGTGAATGGGTGTGCGCGCAGTTGCTGGCATTCATCGGTTCAGTGCGTAACATCGCGTAGCTGCAATCGGCTGAATGTGAACGTGTCCGTGATGCTAAATTCAGGCCCAATTCAAAACGTGACATGGCAAGTTTTGAATTGAAATCAAGATCCTAGAATATTGTTTTCTCGGAATAGCTATTAAGCACCTGTCTTTAGAAATTTGAGCACAAACATGCACAAATGACAAATGATCTACCGACCGTTAAAGGATTTTTTGTTATGTGCCTCTCGCAGGGTTGGTTCAGCCAGGGTGGAGCCCCGTTCATCGGAATCATCGTCAGTCCGTGTCACAACTACCAAATCTCGCAGTCCAAAGTCTGCTGCCTGACCATCAGCGCGGAGTGGTCCTCCGAACTCAAATGCAGTGAGTACATATCAATCTTTACAAAGACTGATCTGGGTTTTCAGCCAAAACCTCATTTACGTGAGTCATTCTATAAATTTGGGGTCCACTTTTTCCTGTCCCTGTTACATCTGACATCTATGATTTTATGATTCTGATGGCCTCCTTAACCCTAACTCCCTAGCGTCTTTTATTAGGAACTGGACCAAGTCCATCAAAATCCATCAATCACTGTGCGTCCAATAAAAAACTGTTCATGACATAACGGAATCCACCACCGACGCACTGGTTGACATTCATGGACTTGCTACACATGGCTTTTATCACAATAGCAGTACAGGAAGCTAGGCAAAATCAATCGGATACCCCTGGCACTGCTTCAGGCCATTAGGCCCAAGCCCATCATACTCCATCAATATTTAGTCACGCCAGGCCTTCTGGACCAAGTCCCCCAAAATCCACCAAAATCGGGGGATGGATTTTGATGGAGTTGGGGTGGTTAGGGTTAATGCAGTCGTCCTCAAAGAGTAATTATGAATAGTAAACTCCCTACTCAACAAATTAAGGAAATCTTTTGAAGTCATCCTTAAAGGTAATATACAACATTTGCAAACATCAAAAAACAAAACTACCAAATTATTATGAAATACCTTATTCGACTGTAAGTGAATAATAGTCTCAAGCATCCTATGAATTCGTGGCACCTGGTGTGCTGTCCTTTTCAAGTCATTTTTCAATTTGTGTATCAATTTCAAACGATGGGCGGCCGACCATCATTGGAGAAAAAAAAAAATTACTTTCAAATACTGCCCAATATTTACCAAATTTAGTTACTCCACATTTTTGTTTGCTATCGGTTTATCCATGAATGGGTGCAAGCAATCTAGTCTGGTTCCCTGACCTGACAATTCCCTGATGTCTAATAAATTGCTCCCTTTTTATCTGAAGTAGGGTCAGGGAACCAGACTACAAGAACAGCATTTTTTTCTTCGCATGTTAAAGTTCAATTTCTACTTCTTTTTCTTCTTCCCTCTTTGCATCAGGAAAACCGTATCAGTTTGACTTCACAGTGTCGCATAGCCACTGCGACAACGCACACACAATGGACACCATTTCTAGCGTAGTGACCAAGTTTTCCGTCTACAAGCAGTAAGTTATAATTTCAACTAAATCAGGAAAATCTTGCGAAAGTTGGGGTCTGGCACATTTTCATTAGCAGCCAATTTCATGGTACTGTAATCGGCACAGATGTTGGCTAACACCAAAATATTTGCTTAGTAGAGACAGCTTAGAGTTGCATAGGAACATTTGCAACTACCCAGAAACAGTACTATCGATTTAACGAGAAAAACCTTGCACAAAGTGAAGAAATAATGATGGTACCAAATAACGTGTAAAATTATTCCGCCTGAAATGGTGTCGTTAAAGAAGAACACAGTCATTGAAGGTGGTTTTCAAAAAGATGTGTCTGCACATGTTTTTATGTGCGTCAGCAACAGATTGCAGTTAAACGACCCAAAATTTTGAGTATATCTGTTTTCTCAAAATGTTAAGTAGCCACTGAACTCAGACTGCCACGGTGTTCTGACTTAGCACTATTGCACAAAAAAATTGACTAGGTACTAAGCCCGCTCTAATTAATTTCTTTGTTCAATTTTTATAATTGGTATAAATGCACCTAGTCAGCTTTCCGTTGTGGTTAATTTTACAATTTTGTAATAAAAAGTTTCCCAGGTTTGCAGCATTGCTAATGTTGCTAGCATCGTGACTTTGGGCGTGATCCCTGGCTACATGACATGTATACAAGTTTATGGCTTCTGACTAGCGCCCCTTTGATATTGACGAATTGGGGAACCACCAACATATGGCTGGATAGCTCAGTTGCTAGAGCGCTGGAACGGTGTTTTGGAGGTCGTAGGTTAAAACCATCAATAAGTTTTGCCGTTTGTTTCCTTTCCATGTAGCCGTTCTGAGATGCTGTACTTGTGGTCCAGGCATTATGACATCTCCTTCCTTGAAAAGGTGAGTTTAACTTTTAACCCTCCTATGCAAACATACAAAGTTGTCCTAATTCAGTCAAAATCAATCAAGTGACTGTTTTCAACAGGTAAGAGCTCCCAGCCTACATAAAGCAAGATTGACTGGCTGTGACTGTTTATGTAACTTGATACAGCTTTGCTTTGACTGTAGGTCATTAATAAGCCAGCTGCCTACCACTTGCCTGTTTTTGACCGTTGATTAAATTTGACTCGTCACAGTGCTTGCTTGAAATATGATCTGACCGTTAGTGACTAGCCTGTGCAAGGGCAGATCCAGGGGGGGGGGCCAAAGGGGGCCATGGCCCCCCCCCCCCCAAAAAAAAACATAACCAATTTTTTTTTTTTTTATGTGACATCGCAACAAAGGCAGGCAATGAGTACACCACCATCTTTTCCTCAAAAAAACATTGGTTAAAGTGGTCAGAAATAGCCTCAGATCGCACCACAGAGCATCTAGAATCCAAAAAATTTTGTTGGCCCCCTCCAAAATTGTGTTCTGGATCCGCCCTTGAGCCTGTGTAAAAGACATAGCAGGGAAGAGAATTACTTTTTTTTTGACTGTCTGCGACTGTTCAGATAGCAGAAGGGTTAAAAGCTTAGGAAAATCCTTGTGTGTCTTTCACACTTGCTCCAAAAATATCTTTTCAATCTTTTTATAAATTTTGACGATGTGGTTTTATTCCTTTGTTTGATCCCAGATGTTACTGTCCATCAAGACCTATATCTGCCCCAGTCAACAAGGTGATCTGCTGATGCAGATCAAAGATCTCATCACTGCGGAGTTCACAGCCAAAACCGTCCTCACGATCACAGATGAAGACGACAATTAAAGTAAGACCAGTATCAGTTGCCATAACCACGTGGACTGCCTTAAAATTCAGAACATATCTAGATATATTATACAAGTTGTATATGTTTTATTGCATCTCGTACATCATATCGTCATCGTTTTCACAAACTGACACTGCTATTGGGTGTTGGGTCGTGAAAAACATGTAATCAACAATTTCGGTTTCATGAACTGACACCCGGGTGTGCGCGCACATCGGACACTGACGCGAAATAGAAAGATTTTGGTTTTCACAAACTGATACACAGGCATGTGGTGGAAATACAGTTCGGAGAAAAATGCTTTGAAAGGTTTGACACTAACTGACCTATTGCCGTTTGCGGGTTAGCCACGCCCCTTAGACAACCCTATGGAGTTTTAACACTAAGTTTTGTTTGTCTCAGATTTTGCGCGTTCCGCGTCCATTTGTATATCATGTAATTGGACAATATTTCACAAGCTGTGTTGACGCGATTCTAACCCGATTCTACCGCTATAGGTCAGTTTAATCTGTCCGTATACTTGTGGGTTGCACAAAAACTTCATTAAAAACCTATTTACTGGTGAAATTAAGATCAGTTTCAGTTTGTGGAAACGAAAATGTACGGAGTGCGCGCATGCAGTGCCGGGTGTCAGTTCGTGAGAACGAAAATAACGCGGTTCTGTAAAATACTCGCGCGTGCCGGGCACTCACGCGCAACATGGTGTCAGTTCATGGTATCGGTGATGATATTTAAGGTGAAAAACAAAAGTATGTTTGGCATCCCTTTCCAGCGAATTCGTATGATCATTCATGAATGTATGATGATGGTAGCACGCAGTCTTAGAGTCCGACTTCCCAGGTTCTACAGACCAGTTGGGCAAAAGTACGAGTTTGGTGCAACACAGGATCGCTACTTTCAGACTTGCAACTTTTCCTCGGATCGGCTGAATTCGTCATTTTTGTCACTCACACTTTTGCCATTCAAAATTGGAAAACACTTGTATGGGCTCCGTGCACCAACAAGAGAGGGCGCTATTTTACCACTTTCGAGAGCCCTGTGGACGGGGCACACTGCGTGCGCGTACTGGTTTGTGCGCGTATAGCATGAGGTACGCATGACGTAGTTTATACTGAATATGCACAAAGCAAAGCGTCTTCGCGTGAGCGTCAGGTAATGCATTCAAATGTCACTCCAAGTGTTCTTTCCCAACTCTCCCTTCCTTACCGTTGAGGGGGTACTTGTGCACGGACCCCATATAGTATTGCAAAGCGTGGAATTCCCTCTTTTCTTGTTACTTTCCCCACAACCAAGGAAAGAAGTCCGCTTAGTTTATAAATATGTATGAGGTGTGATCAATGTCAATACTAGGCCGTCTTAAAGATCGTCTTCATATCGTCTCAGTTACACTCAACTGTATGGACCGTGCAATACAGCCTCATATCACACTGTTGTTGCCATATGGATTGACCAATCAGGATCGAGGATACAAGTTTGCTTGAAGATAAATATAAACACTGCATTCCCATGTTGGACACTTTTTTCAGGAAAAATACTCACAACTCTCCAAGGTGTTTGAGACACACATCAAGTTAAAGCTTATGTTATAATCTCTCATTTTCTGTTCAATATTTTTGGGGGTTAACCAATGACTTTTGGGAGAAAATTCCATTCAAAGATGATCACCCCTGAAAGTAGTCCTGTAGCCCGTTGCCATTTTGAAAGAAAAATGATGCCTGCTCTCCATTGCAAAACAGAGCAATTGCAGGGCCCCATTTCATCCAAATTTCACAGAAATATGAGCTTGCAGTCCTGTGCACAGCTTCCACCTTTCTTTTTATTTACAAACCCTCAAGTTTACAGCCCAAAAAATTATCTAATACCAGAGATTTTGAGGGCATGCAAATCGTGATTTGGCCGGCGTAGGCAATTTTGGGCCTATTTACTGGCCTGCACCCTTGGAGTCCTAATTCAGTAAGCTAACTTTGGCCAAGAGAGGGCGCTATTCCACTAGACCGGCTCTACAAACGATACACCACCACTGCATATTATTCTTTTCCAAGGTTACTGGTACAGAGAACTGGCACAATACTTCAATGAATTCACCTCCGGTTCTCATCTTTTGTTGCAAAGAGGGTAAAAAATAGTCTTTTGTCACAGCTACAATAATTGTAATCAGTCAAAAGATCCGATTTACATACAATGCCTTTACGTGATCCGTGATTGCGTTTCTCTGTGTAGTGTGTACAATTTTTTCCTTTGACAAAATGGAATAATAGTGTTGCTCGACAAAAATAGTACTTTGGTCATATTTTTATTCCAAAGTGCAGTTTTTCTTCACCTTTTTTCAACCGAACAATGTTTGAATGTTACGTAAACAGTAAACATTACGCAATCCTACAGCCAAAGCAGTGCATGTAAATACTTGTGCCAGTAAATTTCATCTTGTGAAAAATTTCCTTTTTGGGGGGGGGGGGGGGGGGGTGCTCTAAATATTATCATGTTGTATCCATGGCCCCAATTTCAAAAGTTAAGAACTTAATAGCTTTTTAGTAGGTCACTTGTCCCCGCGCAAGAATTGGTTTGTTGCTCAGACTAAAAATCATTGTGACAGGAAAAGTTGAAATGTATAAAAAAAAAGTTGAAATGTATATAAAATGTATAAAGTACAATAGAATATTAAAGAAGTGTTGAGCTTATTGTAAATTCTTCTTGTTCTTAACTTTTATTTTTTATAGCCTGATCTGTACAATAAATATATGTAAATTTAGACTGCAAAATGAAATAAACATTTAAACCGATTGAGTAACATATTTGAAGACAATTTTTTTTGTGAGCAATATCTTGTCCAGCATTTATCAATTTCTAATCACTGTATGGTATGATCTTCAAGGCATATAGGATCATTTGCGTTTCATGCATTTTATTTGTTTCCAATTAATAACACCCCTCAAAATCCAAAGAAGAATGTTCAGAACCTAACCTGTTGAAGTTTCAGCTCGGTAGATACAACACTTTTTAAGAAAACATTGAAAAACCATGCAAAACCTTTAGATCACGAAACACGATTTCATCCATAGCGCTTTTTATTCTAAAAATCAGTCAGTTGACAGATCGTTGGAAATCACCTACTTTTCTTGATTTCTTCTAAATGACAGCAAGCCAGATGGAATCATTTCATAAGGTGTTTCGTACCAGTACGATCTTTAGTCCATGTTAGCTTTTTGATAATAATTTGGCAGGTTACATGTACTTTTGGAATAAATGCATATTGTCCTATCTTGTTTCTGTTTTTTCCCCTAACTTTAATTTGTTCCAATGGACATTGAATTGTAATCCGCAAAAGAAAATTAACCTATAAATATCTGTGATATCTGTGCTCGGTTCCAACTCAACCCACATTAAGACTGACCTTTCAGAATGAGATAAAGCTTTTTTTTCTTTTGATAAACCCATCTTGCATAAAAGATAGTGAGTTGTTTCTGGGCAACACTCAAGTTTTCTCGAACGGACGACCCAACTTGGACAAAGAAGCCTTCATGTTCTGTCTAGAGTCTAGACGCCCATGGACAGAACAGCTTTAAATAGGGCTTTGATTTCGTGAAATGTTGAATGTACACACAATGGACAAGGTGTTGAACCCGTGTGTAATGTCAGACTTTGGGAGTACACAGATGTAAATGCTTCAACTCACAATAGCAATTTAAACCAAAACTAACTTGTACGTGAAAAAAGTTTATCTGAAAAAGATTCATTTGTAAGTTTTTTTAGCAGTGCAAGGATTTTTGGCCTCCAAAAAAAGAAAATCTGAAATTATTGTCGAGAAGATGGAATATATTTGATTTCACTGGTTTTGCAAAGTCCTTTGCAAATTTGTGTCCTTAATAATAATAATAATTAATTTGTCCTTTACCAAAACCAACTGCGAACCAGTTATAACACAAAATTTTATCTAGTAATTATAATAATATTACTGTGGTGCTTATATAGTGCTTTATACCTAAGGTTTCAAAACACTTTACAAATTATCCCTGTTCATCAGGAACGAGACCATTTTTCTGCAGCAGCTCGAGATCAGCGCAATTTGGTCTCCACCTTCACAGGTACCCATTTATACTCCTGGGTGGAGAGAGGCAATTGTAGTAAAGTGTCTTGCCCAAGAACACAAGCATTAGCGCATTCTGGTCTCTACCTTCACAGGTCCCCATTTATACTCCTGGGTGGAGAGAGGCAATTGTAGTAAAGTGTCTTGCCCAAGAACACAAGCATTAGCACATTCTGGTTTCTACCCTCACAGGTACCCATTTATACTCCTAGGTGGAGAGAGGCAATTGTAGTAAAGTGTCTTGCCCAAGAACACAAGCATCAGTGCAGTCTGGTCTGTACCTTCACAGGTACCCATTTACAATGTATACTCCTGGGTGGAGAGAGGCAATTTTAGTAAAGTGTCTTGCCCGAGGACACAAACAAAATGTTCCCAGTCAGGGGTCGAACCCATGTACCACAGCACACGAGTTGAACCATTGGACCACAGCGCCCCGATAACCTTTTTCACGAAGTGAACACATGCAGTTTCTGAAGTTGTTAAATTCTGTTTATCACAGAAAATATCTGCTTAGAAAAGACGTGTTACCAGCCAAAATGTCATGCAGTGTCTATTGCTTTGTGACCGGTTCCCAGCTGGTTTTTTTTTTATATTAGCTGATTAATTACTTTCCTAAGCAGTATTTTTCTGCTTGGCTAGTCTGTGAATTTTGCCCCTGCATTGTTGAAAGACATTGTCCCAAAAACATAAGAATCCAGCCCAAATTAGCTGTCAATGCTTAGCACTTTAAGAGTACTCAGTACTCAACATTTTCAACCCTGCGTCAACCCCGAGATTGATTTCGCCCCGGGTTGAACTCAACCCTGCTCCAGACCAGGCTTGAGAAACTCTCGCCTGGGTTAAAAAAAAAAAGTAGCACCCGAGTGTATTTAAGCTTGGTTTGTACGAAACAAGTGTGAAACGATGCAGAGTTGAACGCGGGGTTAAACAAAAATTTAAAAACTCAACCCAGAGCGGCACTGGGTTCGCCCAGGGTTGAGTTCAACCTGGTTGAGAGGCTGTAGCGTGAAAAGGCCCAGCGTTTGTGTGCTGTTCATTGGTTGACA